ATTTTCTGGGGGGAACGCGATCGTCGTGGACTTTGGTGGTTGAGGATCATTGGGGAATTGGCACTCGCTCTCATTGAATCAATTTGGATGTCATGATCGTGATGCTACGCAGTCTCCCCCCTCCCTCCACGTGACTCGCGATCGGATTTAATGGGGAATCTGGAGCCAGCGGCCCTTGATCGGTGACATAATGCGGTGGAGATAAGTCACAGCTGATGGGACTCGACGTCGCGGCGATGGCGGTGGAGAGGAGGTGCAGCATCATTCATCACGCTTAACAGCTGTTTATTTCGATGAGGATTTTTACTTTGGTTGGGGGATTAATTCTTTTTAGTTAGTTCCTGGTGGAATTTTTAATCAAACACTCTCTAATTTTTTATGGTGATATTGTAATGAAATTGGTTGATGTGAATTTTTTAGAATTTTTGGGTTGAATAATTATAGCGGAGAATTATTCAAATCAGATAATTTTGGGAACGGATTCAATTTCTTGTTTTTTTGGGGAATTAATTTGTTTCTTCGTCGGAATGCAACAGCGCTTTTAATTCAAAGATCGTACAGTAAAGTAATTGCAGAAGAATATAAAATTTTGTTGATTTTTTTGGAAATGATTCAAATTTTCATGAAATAAATTAATAATGAAATAATTAATGCAAAGAATATTCGTTAGAATCAATTGTTAGAATTTATTTTTACTGCATTGGAAAATAGCGAGGACATATTGGAGGAATGTCAGCGCAAACATGCGTCGCGAGAGTCAGAAAGACTGAAATATGGAATAAAAATTGATTTCCCATTCATTCATGTGAAATAATGGAAAACATTGAAGACATGACAGAGAAGTGGAGTCCATGTGGTGCAACGGGGTCAAGGTTACCAACATTACAGGGAAATAATAATAATTACGAGGAAAACCAATTTTTTTGATAAGATAAAAGTTGCCTGCTGAAATGATCGGACAGCCGACAGTAATTCAAGAACTCGTATTTTTCAGAAACTTAATTTCGATTTTCCACAGACTTATTCACAGAAATAATTGTAGAAAAGGTCTGCAACTTGAAAGTTCCCTCGACTGACGAAACATTTTAAGTTGATGTTTAGAATTTCGTATGTGATATTTGATATGTCGAAAGCGAAAGGGAATGGAATCTCAAACTTTTTTAAACGCAAAAAAAAATTATAATAAAATTCAATTCAAATTATCAGGGAAGAAAAAAATGATGAAAAAAATTGACTCCTTGCTGTCAAAGAACTGATAAACAATCGTTGAACGACAATTAAATGCCAATCAGCCGTCAAAAATGACAAAATACTAAATTTAAACTCAGCAACAGGAGCTGAAGATCCTCAAAATCAAATTCTCCCAAAAATATTAAGAAAAACAACAAAAATTATTGAATGTTTTCGTGATTATGGAATGTTTTCTTTAATTGTCTCTTTAGTAAATGAAGCGAAAGAGCTGGTAACCGCTTGCAAAACAGGGAAATTGTCCCATAAACGTGGAAATCCGCTATTTCTCAGAATAAAAAAAAACACGTTGTCCCAATAAAAAACCGTTTGCGTAAACTCAGAAAAATTACAAAAATACATTTAAAAAAATGAGAAGAAAAGAGACTAATGAAATCTTCATAGTTTAACGATGCATAAAAGTCACTCAGACGTCAAAAAATACAAAATACTAATTTTAAACTCTGCAACAGAAGCTGAACTCCTTCGAAATGAAATGCAAAGCCCTCTCCCCAAAAAAACAATGCGAAAAAATAAAGAATAATGGAATGAACGAAAGTGCTCAGACGTCAGCGGCAAAAAGCACCCCTTTGATAAGAAAACAATTAAAAAAAACACGATAAACAATAACAAAACAAGGCAATTGTCACATAAACGTGGAAACCTGTCATTCCCAAGAGTAAAAAAAAACATTGCACCGATAAACCACCGTGTGCTCGCAATGACCAGGTAGACAGATAAGAAGACCGATAAAAAGTCGCGGGTGCGATGTGGCACTGGAAATGAGTTCACGCATATTCCGCCCGGAAAAAAAAGCCCACGAGGAAAAAAAAATTAATCCCCAGCCCCTGGAAGCACTCAGAATAACCGAGGAAAGCCCAGGTTAGTGAACCTGGAACAATAGAGCGATTGAAAAACCAATGGAGAACTCACCGTGACTACCCCATCCTTGATGATGGTCTTCCTGCTTCTGATGATCATCCCAACGATTTTCTTCGACACCCTCGCAGGCATACTCACGCACTGGGCGCACAAGCTCTTACGTTTTTTAAGTTTCATTAATACTTCAATATCGTAACGAGAGAGTACGATCCATTTCTCGTATTTAAACTATTTTCAATAGTCCGTTCAATTTATTATTGGGAATAAATAAATTACAAAAAATGTTCTGTCACTTGTTGGGGGGTTTTGAGGGCTTTTTGATCATTTGATCGCCCTAAATGTCATTATTATTGGTGTTTGCACTGTTTTTTAACTATCAACTGCCACTAATCATCACTGAAGTGTGGGAGAACACGGGGAACAGCCGATGAGGTGGAGAACGTGGAGAAGGTGAATTTTTTGGAACTTCGGCGCTTGTTGAGAGATGTCGCCCATTTTTTTTTGTTCGCTCCGCCGCGACTTCCGATTGGTTGCTCGTCGGTTGGAGCCGCCAATGAGGGCCCTCGTGCCCTAGGGAATTTTCGCCGCCTCTGGGAACATTTGTTGGGGTTTTTCTGGGGATTAAGGGGACAGGTGAGTTCGTTGTCTCAGGGTTTTTTAGTTTGAGACTTTGGGATTAATCTTTCCGAGTTCTTCCTGCCACTTCCACTCCATTTCCACATCGCGGAGACGAGGGTCCATCAGCACCAGGTCTGAGATTTAGCGATTTATTAAATTTGTTGTAATTTAGGTCTAGTTTATTGAATTAGAAAAATTGGGCGAGGGGCTTTGGGGGTTGGAGACTTGGGGTGAGATTGGGAATTCATGGGGGTTTTATGCTGCAGGCCAAGTGTAACGGAAAATGTGGTCGTCAATGCTGGAAGCAGCCAAAATGAGCCCCTTCGCGGGGCCCTTCTCACAGGCCAAGTGCCAGGCTGTCAATGACGAGGAGAAGTCGTTGATTCCGAGCAGGAAAATTGGAGCTTTCAGTGTTGCTGAGGGAGGTGAGTTCATTCAACATTTTCCCGAATTTTTTCTGAGTGAAATGTCATACATTTTGCATGGTCGAGTGACTTAATCTTGTTAATCAGCCATTTTTTTGCAGTTTTCGATTTTTATGACAGAAATGTTGACTTATTCATTCAATACTTTGCCTCCAATGAAGAAATGATAATAATAATTCAATAATTTGTGTTATGTAAAACAGTCAGGGTTTATTCAAAGACGATTTGAGGGTTTTAATCTTGAAATTGAGGTGTTGAATTCAGAAATTCTGTTCTCATGTGCATGAGATCAACACAAAGTTTTATTCATATTTCTTCTTTTAGATATGACATTGCAACATTTCTGTTCAGTCCTCCAGTGAACTGAAATGTTGGAATTGAAACTGAAACGATTTTTCTGCTTCATCCCCAATTTTTTAAATAAATGAGAGAAATTTTTTCAGCATGAAAAGTTAACACTCGAACATTTGCACTTATTGTTGCTCTTTAATTATATAATCCTCGATGATACTAAGGGTTAGCTATGTATCTCGATGTCAGTGGAACGGCGCCCGCGCGGGTGTCATTGCGTAATGGCGACCATTTTGTTAAAGTATGAATCTATCAACCTTGAAGGAAAAATTGGAAAATGGAAAAAAACTACTGCATTCTGCATTGTTTTCCGAGTGCAGATTGTGTCATGACATTGTCGAATGACGGTTAATTGGAGCAGCTTTGGGAGTCAGGGACGCGTGGAAATATTCGAGGAAGCATTGACCTAGATCTTGAGCCGGTGGTAGAGGAATAGAATCTCGAGGCGTTTAGACAATCGATCAGCTGACCGGCCTTGATTCAGGGTTACCAATCTCACGTTCTGCCAAATGGATTTAAATAACTTCTGACAGAACTATTAATATATCAGTGCACTTACTCAATTGTTTGGGCCGAAGGATTTTTTTTGGTTCATTGTCAATCGATAATTGATGGAAAACAAATTATTAAAACGAATTTATTCTTGTATTCAGTATTTCAGTATTTTTCATTGTCATTTTTGAAGAAATGGAACAGGTGTTGCCTTTATTCCAGAAATCATTACTGATTAAATTTTTTTAATTTAACTGGATCGTTTTAAATCATTGCTTTGGTTGAAAATATTCGTTTAGTTTCGTTTTACCATCAATTAATTATTCGTGGTTCCTCATTTTGGTGAAAAGGAAAGGGCTGCAGTTACTCTGCAGACCAATGGAATAGCTGCAGTCCATATTTCCTCATCAAAATCGATGAACATTAGCAATTAAATGATTTTAAAATGAGAAAGTAATTTAAACTCAAAAAATGCATGTCTTCAAAGCATAACAGACACTGTGAGTGCCTTAATTCACTAATTCTCAACCAAAAAATGAGCATAAAAAGAAGAATTGAGGGATAACCGAACATGCTGTGCACGTCGTATTCTCCAGTGAATTGATTATTCGTATTCCCTCATTTTGATAAAGAGGAAAGGACTGCTGTTACTCTGCAGGGCCACAATGGAATAGCTGCAGCCCAGTTTCCTCATCGAAATCGAGTGAACATTAACTCTCAATTGATTCGAGAATGTGCCAGTGGCAACAGGTTCCGCCATCCCTTGAGAGGGCGAAAACGGGAATTAATGTGTGAAAATGAATTTTTCAGACAGCTGTGAATTCGGATCTAACCACTACTTTTTACTATGCGGTCTTGGTGGTATTCTGTCGTGTGGGTTGACCCATACGATGGTGACACCCCTTGACTTGGTGAAATGTCGTATTCAGGTTGATCCCGCCAAGTACAAGTCCGTTGTCACCGGATTCAGGGTAATGTGTCTTTCTTTTTCATATCTACATCCTTTGAGTTTATTCATTTAATTGACAAACAATGAGAATTGTTAAATTCAGTTGAATTATTCACTAAAAATTAGTGAACATCATGAAAATTCTGGATAATATGATCTTAAATGATCAATTAATTGAAAATTCATCGCAATTTGGCACTTAATGCCACTCTTCCTTTTTTTTTAACGGTCTAGCAAAAACGTAGAAATTTCAAGTTAAAAAAAATTGAAAAATTATCAATTTGCAAGGGGGAAATGTAAAATATTACTGAACAGGTGACGCTTGCTGAGGATGGAATGAAGGGTTTGGCCAGGGGCTGGGCTCCCACCTTCTTCGGATATTCCATGCAGGGAATGTTCAAGTTCGGTCTCTACGAGGTCTTCAAGGTTTACTATGCCAATTTGATCGGTGAGGAGATGTCCTACGAGTACAGGACGAGCTTGTACCTGGCAGCATCAGCATCTGCTGAATTCTTCGCTGACATTGCTCTTTCACCTATGGAAGCTGCCAAGGTAGAGTTAAATTCCCATTTTAGAATGAGATAAATAGATTTATTTCCACCGGAAATTGATCTCTTTCAATTTAATCTCTTCATTCTTCATTTGGCGACTGCAGGTTCGCATCCAGACGATGCCTGGCTTCGCCAACACCCTCAGGGAGGCACTCCCCAAGATGTACGAGGGAGAGGGTCTCGGTGGCTTCTACAAGAGTCTTGTGCCCCTCTGGCTTCGTCAAATCCCGTACACCATGATGAAGTTCGCTTGCTTCGAGCGGACCCTTGAGCTTCTCTACAAGTACGTCGTACCCAAGCCACGTGAGTCCTGCAGCAAGGGCGAACAGCTCGTCGTCACCTTCGCTGCTGGGTACATCGCTGGTGTGTTCTGTGCCATCGTCTCTCATCCCGCTGATTCCGTAAGTTATTTCTTAGGGATTATGTTCCCTTCATACTTTTTATTTAAATTTCCATCTTAATGCGTTCATTATTGAGACAGTTCCAAACGTTAATGTTTTGTTAATTGTTCCATTATCTCAACGAGTTGTTTTAGAACAAAATGCCAGGAGAATTTCTCATTTTATTTTTCTGAAAAAAGATCTTTTGATGTTTCTTTTTAAATACGGTAAATCATTTTTTTAATTCGTTCGATCTTTTTGATCTGGGAGAAAAACGTCAGGAGAAATTTTCATAAAGATGATTATAAAGATAATTAATGTCAGTTATAACGTTTTATCATTTCATTATTGAATTCAGAGATTAAGAAAAAATTCTTTGGTGCTCCTTCAGGTCGTTTCCAAGCTCAACCAAGAGAAAGGAGCATCTGCAGGTCAGGTCCTCAAGAAACTAGGTTTCGCCGGTGTCTGGAAGGGTCTTGCTCCCAGGATCGTGATGATTGGTACTCTGACAGCAGCCCAATGGTTCATCTACGACGCAGTCAAGGTCTACCTCCGTATGCCACGACCACCACCACCAGAGATGCCCGAGTCTCTCAAGAAGAAGTACGGGCTCGCCTAAGGAACCCAATCTCCAGGCGCGGTTGTATCCAACGCCGCATAGACAATGAATAAAGGAAAATTGAGAAAATGAAGAACAAAAAAATGGAAAAAAAACATTAGAAAAATTTCACATCTTATAAAATCCTTCCTCGGGGAATTCACTCGCCTAGATAGTTACGATTAACGAATCTTCATTAAGTGCTCAGTATTCTTAATTTCAATAAAAATTTCACCCTATTTCCCGTTTTTTTGGGGATTCAATGACAATTGCGAGTCACACTGCCGCGTTTGAAAAATTGAGGATTTTGCATTGGCTGAGATGTTTCAGTTTTTATTTTTTATCCGATTGAGACGTTCAGTTGCATTAACATGTTCCGCAGGTTGAGATTGTCATTTTGGGTTCTGTATATTGAATATTGCGTAGATATTCAATCCGTTGTTCTGTACATAGGGTGTTCAGTGAATAAAAGTGGATACGATTGCTCCATAACGATTAGTTTATTTATTTCATTCATTCAGAAGTTTTTCATTGAGGATTTTTCAATTGGAAACTCGATATGTCTAGGGATTTTTTTGTTGCAGCAGCGCTTGCAGCTGAGTTCACTCACGAGGCAGATGCCCAGTGTCTTTTACATCCAATAAAATCCGCATATGATTAATCGATAGAATTTCATATCAATTAGTTCTACTTCTAATTCGTTGATAATAATTTCTAATCGATGATTTTTTAATTGGCAATTTGCTGCTTGTCATTTTAAATTTCTGGGAATATCTAGGGATTTTATTTTTGGGGTAGCACTTGGAGCAGGGTTCAGACACTAGGCGAATGCCTAACAGCAACAGAAAACAAAGCTCCAACAGTAATTTATCAGTAAATCGAGTAAATAATGGAAAACAGTGGTGAAAGTGGTGATGACGGTGGACCCCAGGGTGCAACGAGCTACTTCACTTCCGGAGGGGTTTCTGGGAATTATATCGGGGTGCAGTCTGATGATCTAGAAGGTAAGAACCCGTTCGTCCGAGACGTCACAGATAATGACATGAAACAATGTCAAAATAATATTGTTTTCTGCATTGACTTGGTTGAGAATGCAGTTCCTCTTGAATGAACCACATTAAAATTCGTTTCTACTTGTCATATTGAATGTGGCTATTGGAGTGGACCACTCATCAACGAATCAGATGTTAGATGATGGTTAGAATGCCAAAATGGCGCGAAATATTTTGAATGTATGAAGATTTTCAGATGCGGAATTAAAGTTGATTTTTAAGAATTTTTTATAATTAACGCATACAAAAATTGGAGTAAGTTACCAAAACAGTATTGCCCATTTTTTTGTCAATGTCAGGAGAATAAAATCATAGAGAATAGTTCAATACTTTGAAATATAAAATTCCTTTTTAAATTCATTTATGACAAGATGCATAAGAAGGGAATTGTCAGCTACATTTTCAATATTTTATTTTTCTGTCGAAAAATTCCCATGGCACGGAGAAAAAAATCCAGGAAAAACGACGACAAAATGTAAAAGTGCAAAGCTCTCTCGAGAATTTCTAAGTAAAAACTTTACGAATCGAAACGAAATTTTCATCACGCTGTGACGAAAAGCGAACTTTTCGGCACGCTCCGCGTGCCTAAAAGTCTAATTTCCGCCACATTGTGATGAAAAATATTGTTCGTAACTCGTGAAAAAATGTTTTTTAGCTCGTGGGATTATATCACTCGCCTTCGGCTCGTGATATAAACCTCCTACTCGCCAAAAAACACTTTTTTGCACTCGTTATGAAATATACTATTTTACCTCATTTCCATAATATTTCTTAAAAATTTTTCTCCGTATGAAAGCCCCATTTCTCCTCAAAATCTCATAATTTCCTCTGCACAAACCTCCAAAAGCCGTATTAAAACAAAGAAACAAATTGAAAAACGCCCACGACTCCCCCTAAGAGTAAAAACCTCCCCAGATGATCCGGAAAACACAGACGACTCGAACCACGGAGGAGACCCCCTGCACGGTGGAGGCAGTGGTGGTGCCGCGGGTCCCCTCCGAGAGCAGGACCGCTTCCTCCCGATCGCGAATGTCGCAAAAATAATGAAAAGAGCGATCCCCGAGGCCGGGAAAATCGCCAAAGAGGCCAGGGAATGCGTGCAGGAGTGCGTATCCGAGTTCATCTCGTTCATAACATCAGAAGCGTCTGACAGGTGTCACATGGAGAAGCGAAAAACGATAAACGGGGAGGACATTCTCTTCGCGATGACCACCCTCGGCTTCGACAACTACGTCGAGCCCCTGAAGATGTACCTTCAGAAGTACAGAGAAGCGACGAAGGGGGACCAGACACCCCCGTGTCTCACAGGCCAAAGTGCCAATGGAAAGACTGAACCACCGAGCACAATTTACGAGGAACAGCTGTACGCATTATCCGGGTCAAATGCAACGACCTCCGACTCACCAGTGATCTACAGCTATTCCTCGGGCGATCAGATGCAATTCCAACTGTCCTGATCCTCCGATGACTCCAAGGACGAGGAGTGGACGTGTCTCGAGGAGTGAACACCACTCTGGACGCAATAGTTCAATTGATTAAATTTTTTTAATCGCTTAAAATTGCGGAATCAGTGGAATTCATAAATATCCGTCTATACAATATAAATATTATGACGAGAGATCGGCACTAATACTATTTTCACCGATATTTGCACCGCAAGTGGGTATTTCTAAATATGTTTCATTATATTGTGAATGAATATTGAGAAATTCACATTTTTTAAAGACGCTATCAATGAGTAATAATTGAAAATAAAAAAATGTCGTTTATCCAATCAGGAATTTTGTAGCGTTATTGATTGAAAAATTATTTGTTTCATTTTTTATTTTCATTTCTCATCAGTATCGCAATGAAAAACAATCGTAACTCGATTTTTTTCGTTAACCATTGACATTGTAATGAAATGTTAATAATGGAAATGATTTTCCTGCCGATCTCTGGTCGCGATGGTATAGTAATCCTTAGGCGTGTTTTTTGTAATGAACATTCGACATGTAGAAAAAATTAGCCGATCCTTTATTGTAATTCCATTAAAGCACTAAAATTCATAATAAACTATTCTAAACGTTTGTTTTTCTCTCAACATTTCCTCTCTCGTCGCAACCTTTATCGTGTCGAGGTGAAATTTCGATACGAAGCAGCCACTTAAGTGTGGGGGGCAAAACCGGCAGTAGTTTATTTATTCATTTATTTAACGACTCTTGTCAATCGTGATGATTTTTCTTCTTTAGAGGTAAAAAATTGTTTGTCATCACAAAAAGAAGAATTAACGGAAAATAATGTTATCACTCTGGCAATTGGGCGGGGGAGAGCAGTAGTTCGTGAGCTTTGACTGGAGCCGAATGGGATGATGATGCTGTTGCTGCACCAGCTATTGTTCTAGTTGGTTTAGTTACAGTTGTCATTGTTTGTTGACTCGTTTGTGGTAGCAGTGTTGTTGCTGTTGGCTCTAATTTTTTCATTTTATCCTTGTCAACGATAACAACACGACATGGTGTCCATCTACAGTCACCACAGCAACGACACAAACATATGCACAGTAGAACACGAAGGAGACAGCACAGGAGACCAGCGCAGAGGAGGGTTGGTCCAACGAGTCGAAGTTCGGGACTGAGGAAGCCTTTTTCACCGGTTCCCACGAACGATATTACCAGACCCAGGGCTGTTGTACCCAGGCCAGCGTATAAAACTGTGTTGAAGGCGGCATTCACCTCACCACGACGACGATTTGTCAGGCTACTTCCATCCTCGTCGTCGTCCTCGCCACTACTTCCGTAACAATAACTTGCGTCTCGTATCTGGTGAGAAATAACATATTTTTGAATTTTTCATTTCATATTTTTTATTTTTTTCATCTTTTAAAAATTAATGAAGGAAGAATGGACAGGTTTTTGTTCTTTTTTTTATGGTGAATTATATTATCTTGAATTTTTTTTTAATGGAAATTCTTGGGAGTCGATGTTCCCAGTTTTTCATTTATGAATGCAATAAAAATGAATAGCTTTTTGTTTTTTAATGATGAAAAGGATGAAATAAAAATGGACAGATTTTTGTTCTAGTTTTTATGGTGAATCATATTCTCTTGAATTTTTTTTTAATGGAAAAATCTTGGGAATAAATTTTCCCAGTTTTGTCATTTATGAATGGAATAAAAATATGTAGATTTTTGTTTTTTTTAACTAATGAGTCATATTCTCTTGATTTTTAAAAATAAAAATTCTCGAAAATAGATTTTCAATTATTACAACAGATAACTATTAATGAAAAAACAATTCACCCTGTTTCTCTTCATCCACCTCCTATGCGCTTCGCATTGTTTAGTCTTGTACCCATCACGCGAGCCGTGTGGCGACGCCGGAGACAGAGGAAGCGGCGATGGTCTGCTGCAGCCTTGCCAAGCCGCTTTCCCTGGTCCCTGGCCTCCGCACTGCAACATTCAACCATCCATCAGCCCCCTCTCCGTAACCCAGGCCCATCCAATAAATTCGTAATTACGGAAATAAACGATAACGTCTAAACCCGTCAATTCTACCTCTAAATCAACCCTCCAATGCTTCGGTTTACTATTTTCCAATCTAATGAGTAAAATAACTTCAACAATTTATTACAGTTCAAATGGATGATTCCAAGGTTTTATTAGTGAACAATGTCATCTACGTACCTCATTACTCATGTCTAATGTCTTTAGTCACCCTCAATCAGGGCTATTTACCTCATATTTTTTAATTTTTTTATTTCGCTTAGTTCTACGTTCTAAGAGCATTACTTTCTTCAATTTTACCCAAACATTATTTCTCTGTCAATCTCTTCCTCGTTATTTACTCACCCCGTAAGCGTATGATCTCGGGGGATAACGTGGTAGCGGTGGTATGAGCCTTGTAGCCAAGTTCGATGGCAACTCCCTAAAGTTCACCGTTTTACCACCCCTCAAACGCTGCTTCTCCCGTCTAATTAATAATGCAGCCTGCATTCTGCTCATTCATTTACTCTGATCATTGATTAAATATCTTTTCTCTCTCTTTAGACAACAAATTTTGATTCTTTTGATATGCAATTCCCCGTTTTTTTTATCACTGTGTTCCACTTTCTTGAAAAATAAAAGAGATTCTTTTTCACAGTTTGCAATTTAGGACGGGAATCCCTAGTTTTTTTTTGTTCTTTTCCGCCGTTTTGGGTCTTTGAGGCCTTCTCAATGGACATGGTGGAGTGATCGAGAAGACGAGAAAGATCCAATCCGCTCTATATGCCACCAGACAGCCAATTAATATGTTTTAATCGTCATCCTCGTGTGCACGTGAATTTATTAATTAAACGTGCCTTTAGAGTGCAGTGCATCAAGGGGTGAAAACGGGCGGTTTTGTTGAAAAATTATCTAATAGTCATTATTAAACTACGGTTCTTTACCCTAGCTAGGAGTACCTAATCCCTAATAGAAGAAGAGTTCATTAATTTCTGTGCAGTAGGAAGAATGCTCGCGGCTATTTTTGTTTATTTTATTTTATTTTTTCAGAAAAAGAAGTAGATCTGTTTCAGCTTTTTTACAAACCTGAGATTATCTCCAAACATCTTTCCAACATTATAAACTGAAATTGTCTTTCACGTGATTCTCTCGTTTTGAAATAATCGCCGGTTAGTCTTCTTGAAGAGTGGGGGAAACTGACCAGTAGATGAACACATTTTGTGGTCTTTGCGATTTAAAGTGGATGAATTGATAACAATGGGCGGAATGATCAGTCGTTCATCTATTGGAGAGATCACCCACGGGAAGAAATGAAAGTGAATTAAAATGAGGAGTTACAGCTTCATTCAGAAGAATTTCATTGCAATTCATGAAAACTGAAATCTTCTTCGTCAACATCATTAATTTCTCATTTGGGATATTTTCGATGAACAATCAAGCAAGATTTTTTTTATTGTTTTGTTTTTCCTGAATGAAAAATATCCTGATGGCGCAGGAAATAATTATCTTCTGTTCTCTTCATTTTGTTAATTAATTGGGGTTTTGGGTAGTGGAGGCATATTTTTTTGCCGTGAATAATGAAAAATTGATGGGCTATAGGCGATTGACAATGTCTGTTTTTCAATTTTTCATGATTTTTTAAAATAAAAATTACGTATAATACGTAAAAATTTCATAGTTTGTCTGCACTTCTTTTTTATAGAAATATCCAATAGAAAATATCCTACAGAAATTTCTCGACTCAAATTTTCCAAGATTTATTATTTGATTCCTTTAACGAAAGAGAGACTTTTAATTCCCATAGAAATGTCTCAATAGAAAAAGTTGTATAGAAAAATGAAGTTCTCCTGTGTCTTTCTATGAAGTAATTTTCTATTGGACGTTATCTTTCCACAAACAAATCGAATTCCCAATAAAAGTCCATAAAACTTCCTCTCAAATTTGCTAGTTTTTAAACTAAAATTTTTTCGTGCACCTTCGTGTTGACGAAGAAGAATCCTGAATGATCCATCCACTAATAAACTGAAAAATCCACAGAAAACGTCAATCATCCGTCCGTTAAATGAAAATATAATTAGTTTAATACCCACCTGTAGCTCAGAAGGTGATGGTGACCTGAGATCGAGAAACGAGGGCGGCGGAAAGGGAAAATTGCTAGACTTGAGTGGAAGCGTTACGGAGTTTTGTGATTCCAGTGATAGCGGTGGCGGTGATATAGGAAATATCGGTGATACAGGCGGTGCCAAACGATTTGGTGTTAATTTATCATTTCTCCTACGACGATTATGCCCATGAGCATGATTGCAGTGCGACGAGTGGTACGGACTCGATGTCTGTGCTTGTGGCTGTGGTGCTAAGTGCGTACGGGATGGCTTGGTCACTTGAGGTCCAGTTATTATCGCCGTTGGTTTCTTCACTCCAGTCGTGTGGGTCGCCTCCAACCGCTTGTTCAACTGCAGGCGCTTCTGATTGCGGCGTTTTGCTATGCTCGCACCACCCGCCGCCGCATACATTTTTTTATAATTTTTTACTCTCCTTCTGGTGGAATTGGTTTTGTGGCCTCAAAGAGTCTAGGCTCTTCCCGCTTTAACGCCGCCGGGACAGGCGACTCACCGTTAAGAGTAAAGCTCGTTCATTTCTCTTCATTCTGGAAAATTCGATCGTTCAAAAATGCTCGAGGTGACGATTTAGTGGAGAATCTCTGGTCTTTGGAAATTAGTTTCTCGGTGGCTGGGTGATTTTAGGGGGAAATGGTTGCACTAGGTTTCAGTTTCAATGCAACGAGGTAATTTGGAATTTATTCAGAGAAAAATTTACCGTTTTTTGGGAGTATTTTTGACGGGAGACTACTGAGTTTTAAAAGCCGCGGGTGTTGGAGTGAGATTTCTCGCGCATTGAAGATCCATTATTTATGTCTGAGAACAAATAATTAGGGCAAAAAAATAATTGTTTATTGCTCGTTTGCTCTGCAGACGCTAAAAATATTTTAAAATAGGTCTTTTTTTCATTTTTGAAAAAATCTGTGCACCAACAGCTACGAATTAATTTTTTGATATTCGACTCCTACCCAGCTAATTTCGATTTGTTTAATACAAAAATTTGAAAAATTTAAAAATTTTAAAAGTAAGCAGAAAAGTTATCCTTAATATATGTAAAATATATTCTCGATTCTTTCAGAAACATTTTTCGGCCTATTTTACATAAACGATGCAATTTTTTATTAAAAAAAATTAAATTAGCTGTGTAGGAGTTGAAAAAAAAAAAATTCGTAATTGTTTTGCACAAATTATTCGTTTTTCGACATTTTAAAAGTACAAAAAAATTAATTTCCTGGAATCTCCAGCACTCTCCTCAATGAAAAAAATATTACTCCCGTGTGCAACCATTTCCAGGTAAAATTACCGAATTATTTGTGTTCCTACTGACGGGTGTAAGCAGTAAAAAGCATCCTAAAGCGTTTAACTACATCTACCAACAACATATTTCTTCCAACTGACTATAATAGTAGACTAATTTACTCAAATGTTAACAAAAATATTTATAACAAAGGAAAACGGGGGTTTTATCGACGTTTCTTGGTGGTGGTCGATTATTGCGAAAGGGTCAAGTGCTTTCAGCACGAAACACCAAAGGGGGAAATTCTCGGTCTCTCTTTTTTTTCCCTCTCTAGCTTTTTTCCACTCTTATTTACAAATACGGTCAATGCGGACGAAGCGATAGCAGGCACATATAATGTGGGCACAGAAGGGCTCATTTCTGCGTTATGGAGTAGGTCGAAGGGGATATTGCGAATGGGGTACGGTTTGGTGATGTATGGGGTAATCGAGCGGAATTAAATGCAGGTCAGTGGGTGAAAAAGCAAAGGTTTAAGCTCGGGATCACTCTAGTTACTCGGCTCTAATTTATCTTCTCTACGCTCTAGTTTAGTTCAAATGGTTTAACATTTTTTTTTCGTGACTGCTGTGATTGGTGAGGCCTTTCGTTTGCATAGATTTAATTTTAGGCTGACTGGTGGTTCTTCTCATTATAATGCCAATATTGGGAGCATTTGGAGATTTTTTGGGGCGGGATAAGCAGCAAGATTAGCGGGGATTTCACACTGACACGCGGCTATGAATTTTGTCGCGAGAAAAAATGACCGAAAATTTGAAATTCCAGGTTGAAAAATTTCGAAAAAATCGATTCATCATTTTTGGTTGACGTGTTTTTGAAAAAAAAATACGGACGGAAAAATTTCATAGATAAACTATTTCTATTGAACTTTGTATTAGTTTTTGGTGGTTTTTTTCTTCAATAGGAATTTTTAATAAAATATTCTATTGAGATATTTTGTGTGGAAATTCCTGGGCTTGAATTTCCCAATTTTTTGTTTAATTCTTTCAATGAAGAAATTATGGAGAGTTGATGTCGAGGAATTTCCACAGAAAATGTCTCAGTAGAAAAATTAGCAATTGACATTTTTCAAAGCGAATTCAACAGTAAAATGGGTGAAAAACTAATACAATTATCAATAAAAATTGAATAGAATGGGCTAACCAAATCGCTGCGTTTTTCTCTGAAATTATTTCGCTCGTGAACGAATAACTTATTCATTTCTTAAATAAATTAATAAACTACACACCGTCCCCTCCACCCGATAATCCTCAAATCGTCATGTGAAATTCCGTAAAATTCCTTTATCAATAATGAAAAAATATCAACAATCTATTAAATTCAATGCACGCAGTTGTTCAAGTGACGCGTGCGTGTTTCTGGTTCTCCAATGGAACCGCTGTGGAATGAGTAGGCCCCGCCGACAAGAACCATCGTATCCCAGTTATTAACTACAACATTGTTGATTCGGTAATTGAAAGGAGTGGATTTGTTATTCGTTAAATATCGCTGGCACGCCCGTCCCCCCTTGTGCGCCGGGTGTCCTGGGGACGGCCTCGCTCAACGAGACCCGGATGTACTTCCATCGGAGATTATTTCCCTTTTTCTCAAATTCACTTAAACTCTGTCCGCCCAATTTAACTCATCAAAATCCGATAAACTGTTTAGTTTATTTTATGGATTATCACTCAACACGACAATCGCGCAAACTGCGATGCGCGCCCATGGGTATTTCTCCTTTCGACGCATCGATGATGATAAAAAATATAGTCTTCACAGTAGCGCAATGTCCCCTTGTTAATGAGAAAATTTATAATTCAGCCAATTTTCGGGGGAATTTTTTTTCTAGTTTTCACTGATTCGCTCGAGCTACGATCACTGGTACTTCTGTCCCGATTTCGTCCACGCTATCCTCGCTTATCAACCCCCTTCCCTTTGTACCTCACGTTTCTCGGTCATCCGTGACTAGGCTAGGACACCCCACCCTTAAAATCCCCCCCCCTTTCACCCCCTTCGATCCGCACGAGCTCCAGTCGATATTTCCACCGCGCTTTCATCGCTACTTTTGACCTTTCATATTTTCACACTGTCGACTTACCTCGATGTTTCACTCCGTTCTGGGGGGTTGAAAAAATCGGGGGTGCATCGAGAGGAGGGCGGGGGAGGGGAGGGGGTGCTCTGGGGTATCGACTGTTTTGTTTTTTCGAGGATTTTTCATTCAGTGTTTTCGGGAGATTGGGGTAGGCCCGGAGGATTGAGACTAGACGAAGTGCACAGGTGAAAAAAATGGACTGGTTGTGGGGGAATAATAGGTGAAGTGAAGAATACGGGATGTTGCCTGGAGGGTGGAGAGTTGATGTGACCCAGATGATTGAATAGTATTGCAGAATGAGAGCATTCTTATAATGAATAGATTTTATGGAAATTATGTCATGATTAATTGCGAGGAAAATGGGTGTTTTTAAAATTTGAATTGAATGGGTATTCAGCTCATTCTATTCATACGAATTGATGAACTGAAGTATCTTGAATGTTCTGAAATTGAGAACTGAAAAATCTCCGGAAAAATAACGAAAATTCGGTGAGCGTCCGAAAAACGAGTGCCTCTCAGAATGTAATTTCGATATAAACAATAACAAAAGGTGAAATCTGTCATGAACTGTTCAGGCTTATTTGATAAATCTCTCCAATTTATTATTAATAAAGTGTTTAATCAATAAAAATAAAATTATACTGACAAAAATGAGTTTATCCTCTACGTTTTCTACCCCCAACTTTAGTGTGAGGATCACGTTTGCCCTTTCCACCTTTCGGTTTTTTGCTTCCCACTGATTTTTTACTGCCCTTTTTAGATTTCCTTTCTGCCCTCGATCTGCAATGATAAATCAGAACAAATGAGCACATGTTATTCAAGAGAAATTTAGTATTGGAGCTGATAAGCAGAATATTCTAGTGATTATTCTTACATCGCAGCAGGGACTGATGGAATATCCACCCTCAGGAGGCCTTTGGAGTTCTTTCTGTTGACAATTTCACTGACTAAATCTGTGTTTCGTCTCTTCTCCTCAGCAATGTTCAGTGGTGGTGCCTTCCTCTTCTTCTTCATCCCAGGAACTTCTTTGGCAACTTGATCCCTCGAATCCTTCTCCTTCGGTAATCTTGAAATTAATTTAATTGAATGTGTTTTGATTGTTGAAAGATGAGGATTAGAATTATGAAGGGATGAAGGGACTCACTTATTCTGGAATTTTCCAACAGACGCTGTGGATACCCTGGCGACAGTGGTGGCTGTTGCCAGTTGCTTGGCAGATGCAAATTGCTCATTGGTTGGGAGTCCAACCCTCGGGATTTTAACATTCTTGGCCTTGGCGAGATTCCTGAGCCTCTGGAGCTCGTTTTTAGCCATTCTCTCCTGCTTGGCGTTGCTGGCAGTCTCTCTGGGGTCTGCTTTTGGCGTATTGTCAGGTCCAACCTCCACCAGCCAGTCTTTTTGCTCCTGAGCTGCTGCTCGTTTGTATCCAAATGTTGGAATCCATTTCTGGACAATTAATATTCATCAGTTGAATTATTCCAGGAGACAATAATTCAATGATCATCATTTATTAAATTTTTAAATTTTTGGAACAAAAACCAAGCGATAAATACTCATTTTCGACCCAGGAATGCATTCCGAATGATGGAATCTATTCCTGAAAACTTAATATTCATCAATTAACTAAAAACACTAGACAATTATTGGGAATAAACCAACAGTTAACTGTTAGTCTTTGACTTTTGGCTATTCGACATAACTCTTTGAAAATGTTTATTTAGAAAGAGCTTGAGAAAATATTCAACAATCAGATGCTTGAAAATGATTAATAATAGACTAAAAAACAGGTGAATTCTATTATAAAACTTACGTTGAGTTCCTCGTCCCATTTGAGTTTGGAGTTTCCTTTCTTCTTTGACCTGATCCCTTTCTCCTTGGCAAACTGTTGCCACTTCGTCAGTGCCTTTGGTTTTGGCACTACCCTCGCCCTCGGAACAATGTACGTGGGCTTTGGGAGTTTTGCAATAATGACTTCGTCCACCCTCTCCGTGGGAAGCGCCCAGATTTTGTTCAGGAGCAGCTGAGCATTGTCCCTTGTCAGGGCCTTCAAGAACTCTTCTTTATTCGATCTGAAATGATCGAAGTTAATTCACATCTCGAGAATAAAAAATGAATTTTTTCCTGGGGGTTTCACTCAATCTGACGAGCATGAGGGGTCGTCGACAGACCAATTGAGGTTAGAAATACATAGTGTAGGTTACCTCAGCTGCTCATTGTCAAACGCATTGTAATCCGATGCCAGAAGTGTTCCCTCGTCGATGTCGAGATCAATTAATTTATCCACTTTAGTCGAGCGACTCTTGTCCTCGTTGTCTTCCTGGAGAATTGCGTTGACAACATCCATGGTAATCACGTTTTCTATTTCAACTAACCACGCGTGATCTCCCGCTGACTTCAGAGCTTAGAGTGTGCCAACCCCTGGAAATTCCCCAGACGCTGGAGAGAGCGCCCTCACGACCCTTCGTCGCCAGTAATTTTAACCCCTCAAGTTGCCTCCCTGTCACCTGAAGCCCAATCAGCTGAACAAACATAACACAGTGTGACGTCACGATGTGTTGTCATTCCCATCACAGATGTTGCATTAATATCGTCAGTCTCAGGCCGCCGAACAGCCCTCACGAAGGTAAGTGCCTGAGTCCCCCTGCCCCCCTAGAGAATCAAATCCCCAATAATCAGGTGTTCCTCAAGCCTAAACTATGGAGCCCCTGGGGGAGGTTATCCCCCAGCCCTCAGCCGTCCAGAAGCTCTCGTACAACGACATAGCCACCAAGTTGTTGAGTGAGAAGCTCCTGCTGACGGCCCTGGAACTCCACGCAGAGCTCTCCGAGGCCGGGAGGGAAATCCCAGTCCTCAGGGACTTCTTCGCGAATCCCAACAACTTCGAGGCCCAGAGCATGAAGCCAGAGCCCTTCCTCCCGATGCATCGCTCCAGCAGTCAGGTGACCTTGGACTCCCTGGACATCTCGAGGTACTCGGAGGACGGTGGAGGTGTTGACGAACGCGTTGCTGTTCTCGAGTTTGAGTTGAGGAAGGCTAGGGAGAACATATCAGCTCTCAGGGCGAATTTAACAGTTGTCACGGAGTCTGAAGCGACTCCCGATAAAAATTCGGAGAGAAGTTCACTGGGGGAACAACCGATAAAACCCCACGAGCAGAGAGCCCTCAACTTCCTCATCTACGAGTATTTATTGGCGAGATCTTACAAGTTAACTTCGATAACGTTCAGCGACGAGAATGAGGACCAGGACTTCGAGGACTGGGAGGACGTGGGGCTGAACATACCGAAGCCACCGGATCTGGTGCAGGTTTACAGGGAATTCCTGAGGGGGAGTGGGTACGACAAGCCTCCGGCTGCTGATGCTGTGATACAGACTGATTTCGAGGGGGAGAAGTCGAGGGAGTACGAGGGCGAGGTGAGGAGGCTGATGGAGGAGGTCGAGGGTCTCCAGGGCCAGGTGGAGGCCCTTCGGGGGGTCAACAAGGAGCTCGAGGAGAGGCTGGCCTCGGGGAAGGCTCAGGGACAGCAGAATACCGTTCAGAATGTCCAGACCTTGAGCTCCAGCTCCACCACTCCTGATAAGTTCGAGATGCTGGAGAGTCCGAGGGAAAATACGACGAAAGAGGTAGATTTTTTTTTCAAATGAACTTTGCTGGGAAAGTACTCAAGGAGTGATGATGGAATTCACTGATTATTCTGTTGTTAATATTTAGAATGAGTAGATGAGGAGAAAATTAAATTTGACTAAATTAAATTTCAATAAATTAAAAAAAAATGAGAACATCTCATAAATTACTTCATCATCTCGTCCACGAAATAATAATTAATCGATCGACTCAAACAGTAATTTTTGTTTCTTCTCAGGACCCCGAGGAAGACGACAGCATCTCAGTGGTAGTCTCCCTGGGCGACACAGACCCAGGCGACAAGGACTGGACCCGTATCCACCTCCCCCGAATGGACGTGACCACGGAGACCCCGACCCTCCCCAACTCCCCCTCGCGCGCCCTCCCCAGGCGTTTCAAGCGCGAGGTCCTGGCGCACTGCCTGATAACAGGCTCCCCCTTCGGTTCAGACGGCGCCCAGGACGCCCTAATCGACGTCCTGGCCATCACTCTCCCCAAAATCACCCCCAACATCGTCCTCAACAAGCGAGACGAGGTGATCCCCCTCATCCTGAACACAATTCGCCTGCACTCTGACCCCTCTGAGCGCGAGAAGCTGCTGCAGCTGCTGTTCAATCTCAAGAAAAAACCGCAGGAAGAGGAGCGAAGAATTCTCCTGGGGGGTCTCGTCTCAATAATAAAGATAGAGGACTCCCCCCCGGGGCCAGAGGAGATCCTCACCATCTGCTGGGAGCAGAGCCAGCACAAATACTCAGAGCGTCGACTGCTGTCCTCAGAATGCTGCTCAGCACTGGCCCCTTACACGCCCAGTGGCATCAGGAACTCGTTAATGATCTCAATGCTCCAGCAGATGCTCCTGGAGGACAAGGAGCCGTCAGTCCGGGCGTCGGTCATCCAGAGTCTCTCCCTCCTGGTGGCCCTCATGGACGATCCTGACAAATACTTCCAGTGCGAGGAGCTGGCCCTCACTGCCCTGGAGGACGCCAGCCCCGAGGTCTTCAACGCAGCCTCAATGGTCCTGCTCCCCATCCTGGCGCAGTGGGCACTCTCTTTAAAACGCCTGCAGTCCCACCTCCTTCCTAGGGTCCTGGGGAAGTTGAGGAACCAACTGAGACCCAGCCACTCCCCTGGGAAGGATCACAAGGAGGGCGAGAGGGCCTGCGCCTCCCTCACAGTCCTCACGATCCTGTTGCCTCACACCATCGTCTCTGTGGCTAATTCTCCAGTTGTCAAGTCTAGTATTCAGGACGACGTCTCCTCGGAGATCCCCAGGGAGATCGTTTCCCTCTGCAAATCTAGTATTAGCAGTCCCCAAGTGTTCTGTGAGGACACTGAGGACATCGGGATTATACTGAATACATTTTTGTCGCACATATGGGCCGAGGACACGTGGCCAGAGCTCGAGTGGTTCACGAATAAACTCATTCCAGATGTCCTGGAGATGGTGAAGGGGGTTGATGTCACTCAGGAGAGCGTTTTGAACTCCTTGATGGGGTATGTCCAGGCCCTCTGCGAGGGGTTTGGTCTTTATGTCACTCAGTACAGGATTAAGAGGGCTTTCGAGGAGGAGGTGAGGAGCCTCGAGGAGGGCTTGACGTCGTTATCTGGGGAGGAGCCTGGCCTGAGTCTCAGTGTCATACCCATTTATCTGACGATACTGTCGACACTGGATCCGGCAGAGCTGACCAAGAACATTAAGAATTTTGTGGTCGTGTGCTCGATGACTGGAGTCGATGTTTCTGGCTTGATTGTCGGGGTCAAGAGGCTTTGCAAGCAGTCTAGGGTCGTCGAGAGTGTTCTCACTGCACTCTGGGATGGCGTCGTGCATCAGAGGGCCAGTGTCAGGACCGTTACAGCCAGGTTGTTCGCTGAGGTGAGATAGATTAGGGTTTCATTCTATTTTCATTCGATTTTTATTTCATTTTCAATTTTAATTCACTTTGCACATTAATTACGGAAATTTCACAAGCTCCTGCAGTCAAGCTATCATATAATCTGGAAACTATAAGTACGTCCTGGAATATATTCATTCAAATCGTTAAATTATTACATAGAAAATTATCTAGAAAAAAAAATCGTATTATAAAAAGTATTACTACAATTGTTAAATTCGCTTACTGTGATGATTATCTATCTTCATTAGTATTTTCATTCAATTCGTTCAATTGAATATTGTTTCTCACTGATATTAAAATTATTACACGAAAATTTATTCTTTTTATTAATTAACAAGGTCATTGGGAGTGTTGGAGAGAGGCTGGTCTCAGCGAGGATTGCCCCAGCAATCGTCACCCTGGCTTCTGATTCAGATCTGATGGTGAAGGCTGGGGCGATCAGTGCCCTGGGAAGGCTGATCATGGAGAGTGGCTCCAGGGAGGCGAAGGACAAGGGGAGGCTGACGCTGGAGACCATTGCCAGGGAGCCTCAGGGCGTCCCTCCTGCCTTGGCTGTTCCTCTGGTGACGACTCTGGCGCATATTGCACCCAATTGCCCTCAGCATTACGTCGAGGACGTCATCACGACGCAGCTGACTGGCATCACTGCTTCTGCACTGCAGCAGAACAGGCGGGTCGATCTGGCCACTGCTCTTGTCGACGCTTATTCGATCATCGTTTACTGCTCGTTGAGTGACAAGTGCGTCAGTGGAGTGCTGCTGCCTGGGCTGAGGTATCTGGAGACCATGGTGGGGGCTGTCCTGCCACAGCAGAGGGAGACTGTCAGGTCGCTCATCAGGGAGGCTGAGTCCAGGCAGGATGTGCAGAGGCCTATTGAGAGGTATTTTTTTGAATTGTTTTCCCTGGGAAAAATCCACGGAAAATTTCCCGGGAAAATATTCAATCAGACACATTTGATCACAACATCGATTCATCTTTATTCAATTTAACATCCATTATTTACAATTTACATATCATTATTGGTCGGTAGACAACGAATTGATTAAACAATCGCAAATGAAAAAAAAGACGATTTTTGGCATCAACTTTTTCATTTTTTCCCTTCTCAGGGGAAAAAAATTCAATTAGCATTTTTCGAAAAAACACTCCGAAATTAGTGAGGAAAATTGATTTATAAAAATAAAATTAATTTCGAATTAATTAAATTGAATTAAATTAATTTAAATAAAAATAAAAATGATTTCGTATCTTGTTCTCTATAATAAAAGCAGATTTAAATTGTTGTGTACATTTCAACAGATCAATTTCCGCCAGTTCCGGACTCTCCCTCTCCCTGGCCACCGCCAATGTCGGCCAAGGTGTCGAGGACATGCGTCAGAGAATGTCAAAGATATTCACGCAAAAGCCAAATTCCCCAAGTATGCCTAGCATATTCAGGAAGAAGTAGATTATGATGAGTGGTTCAACAGAGTGAAGAGAATTGAATTTTCATACGGTGCCTTTACATCCAGTAATAGCATTTTTCTTCGCGTGACGAGTTTAAGCGCTGGGGTAATTAACGCGTTCTCCATCCCGAGGGGAAAACACTCACATCTTTCTGGTTCACTCAATGGAAAGTATTCAGATTGCGGAGAGGACTCAGCGCCTATTATCCCTCAACTACTGCTGATATATTATTCATGACAATTTATTCACTTTTTTTAATTGCCAACAGTTGTATTCGAACAATTTAGCTCTCAAGGGAGAGTGCACAAATGTTATATTCAATTCATCGATAGGGGGACAGAAATTACGTAGTTTAACACGCAAAGAAAAATGCTAAATGTGTCAGATAATTACGAATGAACCAATTGAATTATCATCTTGAGGATTAAATTGTACTTACAGTATTTTAACTTTGCTGAATATAATATAGAGAGAGATATTTTTAAATAATTCATAGGATTGTGAAGAAATTGTCGCTTCGAGAGTCATCTTGTAAGAATATTTTATTTTATCTATATTTACAGTTGAATAAATATATACATACAGTATGCGTTATGCAAGATAAATTTATATGCGTTTTTTTTACATTAAATTATGTTATATTAATTTCCATCGAATCAATTACACAATCGTTTTCTGAGTGTTAACAATTGTCTGGTTTTTCTAATCTCCTTGTTACCTACGTTTTTATTAAATATTATAGATAGTTGAACGTATTTATACTGAGCGATTTCAATAAAATTTTATGTTTTCAATTGAATTTTGAAAATTCTTGTTTCACTAGCACCTAAATGAAGGATGAACTGCGGTTTCAATTGTCGTGCGGCTCAATCCGTGCTCGCTAGCCCTGAGCAATCTATCTAGTTGATAAGACTCTATTTCACTGCATGTCTGATCCATTCGCACTAGGGGAAAATTGTTCTCCGATTTATTTCTCTGGGTTTCGAAGTATTCATGCATCCCTATTTACATGTCTTTAATATCGGGGAGAATTCGATGAGGAAGAACTTTGATTTTTCAGAGTTGCGGCTAGGGTTCTAGACGGGCGAGCAGACACCTGTCAGGAGCGGCTTGTCCGAGTCCCGGTTCTTCCTGATCACTGGGGGACTTTCTGACGAGCCGAACAGACACTCTCAAATGGATTTTTTTCGTCTCTCGTCGGTGTCGGATGAGAATAGGTGGGAGTATTCGGGGCGAGTGCCTAACGCACTTATCACGTCCTCTGGAACATTGACGTTATTCAAATACCCGTTTTTTAAATTTTAATTGAGAAATTTTTTATGTATGAAACTGTTCCAGTGATGAGGGAAAATAGCTGAAAATATCGAGAGACATTTTGAAAATAATTGTCTTATCATATCGTTTTAAAAAAATTAGAATGGAATTTTTGTTCTTCAAACTTCAATTATCCGGATACCAAGTCATTTTAGAGGAAAACCTCAGAGAAATTTATTTTAGCTCATGAAATCCTCTGCAAAAAATATCTTTTGACATTTTCTCCTAAACCCCCTCACTATCGAGAAATTTCAACAATTAACAACGCGTGATTAATTCCGTAATGAAAATTAAATAAATAATTTGTAAAATAGTTCCTGCTCACCTAATGTCACAGAGTCCCCTCCACCAGCTTCTCGACACGCCTGCAGGAATATTCTGTCGCACTCCTCATGATGTAACTGCAGCGACAGTCGCAGGACCTTCTGCAGCTCCTTGGCATTGAGACACTTGGTGCCATTCGAGTCACAGACCTGGAAAGCCCCCTCAAACTCAATCTAAAATTCAAACAGAAGCGATAATGTCGTTCCACTTACCTCGAAGGCAATGTCCACGAGGTCTAGCTCTGAATTTGCATTCGCTATCGCCAGGACTGTGAATATGTACTCCTCGAGGTCCACCCGCCCGCGATTATTCTGAAATGAAGATGTTTGTTGTTAGGAGGATGTTGAGGATGTTCAAATTCAAATTAAATTGTTTAAATTACTGATGAAAATAACAAAAGCAGGGAATTATGATGAAAATAACATCAGAGAGATAATTTCATCTCAACTTTCCCAATTACAGAACAAAAATTGTTAATAAAATTTAAATATCATAATGATTTAACTGTGGTATTGAACATAAATTTCATGAGCCCGTGTATAATATTTTTGCAATTGATCTTTAATAGCCAAATTACCCCATCAATCCTAAAAGCTACAGAATTTTCGAACATGAAAAAATTCGATTTTTGGAGAATGGCTAAACATGTTTAAACTCATATTGAAATGACGAAAGGAAGAGTAATTCCTACCCTGTCGTGAATCCTGAATAATTGCTGGACTGATGGGTCCTTCGGGTCCAGCCTGAGTATTCTCGCGAACTCCTGGAGGTCCACTGAGTCCCCGAATCTCGATATCCGTTGCTGCACCAATTCCTCCTCTGCCTTTATCTTCTGAAGGCTGAAATGACGAAAAATTGGAGATAAAAGATAATCAAGAACGTGTTTTTCCGTGTTGACGTTTTTTACGAGTCAATCTACACGAATATTTTTCCCATTTAATGATCCGTTTCGATTTTACGCGGTTCGACGTAGAGATAACACTTGTGTTTAACATTTCAACTGTAGTTATTCACACTACAATACGGGGAATTTTCCTTGAATATTTCAGGATGTGTTACCAACCCGAGTTTATACCGCAACTTGTGCGCTTCGACGATACTGGAGGCGTGGGACAGGTGCAGTGAGTGAGCTTTGCTGATTATTCGGCAGTCGTCGTATGTGTAATCTGATACTGGTATCTGAAGGGCTCTGGAATAACCAATTCAATTTGTTCAATTAATTTGACTTTTAACAGGATTTTAAAAATTAAATTTTCGTGTCATTTCTACTTTATTACTAAATGCAGTCAAAATGGCTAATAATTGGGAAAATTCATGTGAATTAATTCCAGAATTTTAAATTAATTGGAAACCCATCTTAATTTTTTATTAAATATTTTTGCATTCATGAATCTACTTAAATGTTCAGCTGAAATTTAAAATCTCACAAGTCGTTGCCCCCGAATGGAATTGAACGTATTATCTCCCCAATTAATTCGTACTCACTCAGCCATTAATCGTCGCACGTTATTAGCATACAACTTGGGGTCTGTTTTCTCCGCCTCACTGGGCCTGTACACCGGCAAAAACTCGATCTCACAACTGCTGTTCAACTGGGTCAGTGTCAGCCACAGCAATTTCAATCTGTAAAGACATCACAAAAGATTTTTTACAATCGACAACAGCCGAATGCCGACGAACGTGGGGTAACGTACGCTCCGGGGCCTTCCCATGTCCAGGTGACTGTGTCCAATTTATTCGGATAGCGAATGCACACGGGCTGCACCGGCACACCGGGGTAGAATGCACCACACTTGAATGTTATGAGGCACGAGCGATTTGTGCAGGTACCCTCGGGGAATATCATCACCTGGGGCCAGTCCTCCTTCGATGTCGCTCGCTCTATTATCTCTTTTATCGTATTTTGACGGGAGTTTGGGTCGTCCCGCCAGACGTACACCGGCTGAGTGTAATTTATCAATTCTAATAGGGAAAATTATCAATTCAATATCGATTATCAAATCCGCTATTAATCAATTTCGACAATGAACTTTCGATCTCATTCGAAAATTCAACATTTCGAAAATTAGAAATTCTCTCCATATTTTTTTTCCATGGTGAATGGGATTCACAAATTAATTATCAAATTCACAATTAATTAATTCCGGTATTGAATTTTTAGGAACAATTTTTATTCTGTCATTGAGAAAACTGAGATGAAATTATCTCTTCAATTTTATTTTTATTAGTGATGTCTTCCTCTTCGATTTAATTGAGAATAAAAATAAAATAGATAATGAAAAATAGTTTCGATAGAATTTTGGAATGAATAAATTCCGGTGAACGGCATTCGCGAATTGGACATCGGCACATACTTCCAATGAAAGGATTCAGTCCGGACTCCCTCCTGACGATGATGGACGGAAAACCCGTGACGTAGACGATGCCTCCATCAATGAATGTTGAGTGTGGTGCAACGACGAGTACCGGCGCTTCAGCCCTTGTGGCCTGCCTCCCGCGGACTACTATTCTCATTCCTCCCGCCTGATACGTCAGCCGGCCAAGATAGCACAGCCAGGGGATTATTTTTCTGCGGTATTTTCATTCGTCTCAATTTCTCACCTTTCCTCATTCATTATTTTACCCTTCACCAGTTCCCGCGAATTTTCATTCGTAATTTTGATTAATTGAAGTTAAGAATCCCATCCACCAGTATTTTTTACTATTAGTCGTAAATTAATTCTTAATTTGGAGAGGAATTGTCTCCAGAAATTTTTGTGTCAGGATTAGATGAAAGCAGAAGAAGTAAGAAATGCTTTTATTCGAGAGAACGAAATTCATTGGCAACTTTTTCAAATAGAAAATTCATTCCGGTTCGACAGGTAATTTTTCCGTTCACTATTCTTTATTTTTCAACCGAAGGTATTATCTTCAGTGGAAAAATTGACTTTCCTGTGAATGAACTCTTTCTCTTTTGCAAAGTGTTACACAATACAATAAGGAATTCCAGTTAGATTATAGTTCTGTTCAATTGTCGTTAATTTCAACAAAAAGCATTTCTCTGAAAGGAAAAAGACGTGAAAGGAGTGAAGCTGAAACCAGCGAAATATTCGCCAACAGACGATTCGATTTAGGGGGATCCAGGGGTGCGCAGATCACGTACGAAGATTTATATTGAACTTTCTATTATTTCTGGACGATTCTATTAACAAATTCAGGAATTTATTCTCGCGTTTTTTCAATAAAAATGTTTAATGGAAAAAATTCAATAGGAAAAATCAATAGAATTTGATTTTTCTAGGGAATTTATTCTATTGAGACAGAAATTCCTCGGATCAAATTTTCCCAATTAAAAAAAAAATTTTTAGTGAAAAAACTTGGAACATCGATGTCAAGAAAATTCATGAAAAATGAAATTCTACTGATTTTTTCTATACAATATTTTCTACGAAAAACGCACAGTGAAATTGCGAAATTTTTTCGCAGAATCCAGAAAATTCCCTAGAATTTCTGTGAACTCCATGAATAATTTTAAAAATAATTCCATGAATAATTTTAAAAATAATTCTATGAATTATTTTTATTCGTTTTGATCGTTTGACTCTTGAGCGCTGAAAAATTCCCTGAATTGAATTTTCCACTGGCGATTATTCCGCGAGTTTCCGCTTCACTTGAAAGACCTACTTCCGAAGAATGGAATTCTCCCGGTCTCGGCTTTGGCAACGATGCTGGGACCGCCGAGGTAGACGACCGGTAGTGCATCGAAGAAGCTCGAGTGCGGTGCCAAAGCGAGAACTGGTGCGTCCTTAGTCGTCGCCTTCTGGCCCTTGACCTTCAAATGGTGAAATCCACCGCAGACGAACATTGCCCTCATCACCCAGCACACCAGCACCCTCATATCTCTAATTATGTTAGGACTATATTAACCCCGGCTTCGTTAACACAAGCGTTGGTTAGTGGGCGAGGGACGAAGCCATTCGCTACGGTTTGCACTTTGAAATTGATGAGGAATAAAAAGTCGGAGCGTGAATGACACTGAGCTCCATCGATTCGACGCTACGGTTGAATTATTCAGCTAAGTTTGATTACTAGCGGCCGCTCAAGGCCTCCAGAAGTTTCCGGATTGCTTATTGAATTAAGGATATTCAAGGGCTTTGGCTATTTTATATCCTTTTCTACATTATCGCATTGTTTTCATGTTAGAAAACATTTGAAATCATGAAATAATCGGAATTTTTTTTTCGAGATCGAAAATCCTTCTCTTATAAATCATCTGTAAATAACCAATTTTTCCCCCGAAAATTTCTATTTTGAACATTTTAATTCATAAAATAACGGAAACATTTTTTTTTCATTAGAGATTATTTTTTCATAAATAATTTACAAATAATTAATTTTTATGTATTAATAATGCGAATTATTATCAAATTTTACCAAATTTTCAACAATTTCCATTAACAATTTCCATTCACGAGAAGGAATTGTTAAAAAAAATCACGACTTTTCTCATCAATTTCCGTGCGTGTTTAGTTGCCATGTTGATGTACAATTTTAATCATAACTCCACATGAAATTTCTAGATATCAAAGTCAAAGTATCGAGACGTATCAAAGCGTTAATGTCAGATGAAACGGATTTCTCCAGGTTGAGTTGAAATATTTGCTCTCACCGTCGCCATCCGGTGAGGGGAGCACGGCGGAGGTCTTCCTCGGAGAGGCCGTGGAGGCCTAGACACGCGAGCAGCCAAGCCATTATCACCAGCGCTGTGATTGCTGCCAGGCGAAAAGGCAGCAATGCTACTGTCAGAAATGCCGTCTGGAAATAATTATTCGGATGACGTAAAACGCTCCAACAGCTCAATCTTTTCGATTTCCTTATTTTTCTAATGAATTTTCTTTTCACGACCAATCGGAGTTGATGTGAGAACAGGATTGATCGTTTTTTTTTAGAAAAATGTCAATTTTTTCTGCAATTCATTAAATTTTCAATTTTAGGGCATTAAAAATCATATGATCCATCGGGAAAAAAATTGTGGAAATTCATTTTTCTACACTATTTTTTCTATTGAGACATTTTCTGTAGGAATCCCTCGATATGAATAATTTTGTCCCTTTTCATAGAAAAATCAAGCAAAAAGATTTAAAAATTTTCAGCGGAGTTGTCATAGAAGATATCCTAACAGAATAAATTGTACGACTTTCCCATAGGAATATTTTCCCCTGAACATTTCTACTGAAGAAAACGCGCAGATGAGTTACGGAATTTTCCAATAAAATCCAAAAATAATATAAATCCAATACAATTTATTCGCACGTGTTACATAATCCCGGCATTATTAAATTAATATTTCTCCTAACGCATTAACTCATTAACCTCATTACCCCCATCTCCCATTTCTCAATTAAAGTAAAAACACTTTCGAATCCTCGAGAAATGCTCTCCCCATCTAACACGCGATTTAAAAATACCGGAATGTGAAATTTCGGCGCACGAAATTGACCGGAGTCGAATGGACCGGAGGCCTGCGATACAGCATGTACCGTTCCCCATATTTTCCGTTAGACATTCTCAGCATTCTCGCCTTTCTTCCTCCCGACTGATAGCCACCATCGATTCATCTAGAAGAACGGCGCACGCGCCCGAAACCGTCGATACCGATCTCGCGTTTTTCCCTCGCAGGGGTCTAATGACTCGCCTCATCATTGTTGTATATTTCCAGGGGGAATGATTATTCTCCACCGATTTTTATCGAGGTTAGTGTCGGGAATCATACGAGTCCATCCATCCTCCTCTCTCATTACCGTTTATCGTGCCCGTTCTTTCTGAGCGATTCACAGACGAATTCGTCTGTGAAAGTCGGCCAAAGGCCGCGGACCTCTTCTTCCGCGAAGGATCGCTTCAATCACATATTGTGGTGGATTTTATAATTGGAGAATACTTTGGAATTATTATTCCTTTAATGTGTGACACATGATCTGATATTATGATCATACTCTCGTTATTCATCAATTCAATTATTCTTAATATTTTTTTAATCATTAAATTCAATTCTTGAATTTTGTTTTGAATTCAATTATTCACGTGATGAATTGCATTTAGAAAAATAATCGGAGAACTGTAAACAAATAATAAAGACTATCGCAATAATATTTAATTAGTAAATGTCTCATAACATTTACATTTTACATTTTGACAAATAATAAAATAAAATATTCTGATGAGACTGTCATCTCCAAATCATACGACCACTTCATGAATTATTTCACCTCTAGTTAGCCGCGTTTTTTAATAACTAAAATAGAAAACGTTTTCCCTATTTTACTTAATATATTCTGAACAAAGGATCATTTGACTCGCAAGTAATGGTGGCTCGTACTTTTCTGATGAATGGAGAATGCTTTCTAATTATCACTTTTACAACACATGACCCACATCACCCGATATTTTCTATCTAATTACGAGAATTAGATCGAATTCTACCGAAACACATGACTAATGCAGGAATTATTTCATTTCTAATTATTCCTACTCCGCATTTTTAATTTATTTCGGACGCGTGTCGCCCCGCGGGTTAAAAAAAATATTTTTAAATCTTTGATTCATTCTAGTCGTTAGTGCACTAGTCCCATCAATTTTCCATTCCACATTTCCCCGAATGATCGAATAAACACGTTAGTGTCTCGTAAGACCATCCTCCCTATTTATGAAGCATGCTAAACGTAATGACTCCAAATATCCGAACGATTCCCGTTCACTTTCCCCATATTCTAAAAAAAACTTAGAAAGACTGTGGTTGCCTCACTAGCTAACGAACGCGACGTCAACTTTCACTATCTCCATGGAAGCCATCATCTCGGATTCAACTTAATTCAAAACCTATTCCCCGGTTTAATGATTCAGGACATATCCCTTGTCAATTTGTGAAATGGACCCTTGGGGTATTGAAATGAGAATCCGTCATGCGCTAGTTTTTAAATAGAAAGTCCCCTCGTAAAGGCTCAAACTAACTGTACTCTCCAACCGACACTTTTTCGCGAATTTATATCCACTTCCCCCATAAAATAATGAAATATTGGTGATGTTTCTTTGCCGCTGTTAACACGAGTTTCCCCAGTGGGCCATTTAATTCACCATTTTTACGATTCATTCGCATTCTTTCAGTGGAAATCATCAGTAGGTCGACTCTCCGGCAATTTCAAACTTGATGATGCTTTCCCAGTGGCCGTGACCGTATCACAAAGAGGAAACAATATAAATTTCTTAACTGTATCTGTCCGCCTCACTCTTCTTTCATTATTTTTTTATTTGCGGAGTGAGTTTCACAATTGCGAATTTTTGGTGCTTCAGCGGGATTTGGAGCAGGCAGTTGTGGGTCTTTGCGAATCGATCGAGAATTTATGCAATGTGTTGGGGAAAATAAATGCACGCACGAAGAAAAATCATTGAAAACCCGGCGAATTCAGAAGAAAATTGGATTGGAAATTTTATGAATTTGTAAAAATTATTAAGAATCAGTAGAATTTCATCTTTGCATGCAAATTTTTATTGAAAAAATCAATAAACCCCACAAAAATGTTATTTTAAATTAAAAAAAAAAAAAAAAAAAAGGAGAACTACTTAAAAAGGAAAATAAATGAAGACCAACTCAACAAAAACTAATAAAGAAAATGAAATACACATCGTAAAAAATCATAAAAAGTCAAATTAATCTAAAGAACAACTTCTGACGCAATTTCAGAAGTTACCGAACAATAAAAATATTTGTTCACCGTTTCCGCAATGATTCATCGGCGACAGCAGTCGATAACAATTTACAATGAAATTATAAAGAGATAATGCGTGAAAAACGGATGAAAAAAAATCCGTGTTCATCACTTAAATTATTTAACCATTACCCATCGCCATAAAAGCCCCATAAACAATTAACAACTTCAATTCCCGATTATAGAGAATGATAAATTATAGAGGACACCCCAGCAAAAGTGAATAAAAAATTGCAATACCATTTTATCGAAACAACGAACGAATTAAATGGGTTTATACGAGCAATTCTGACGCAATTCAACGTGTTCAATCGGTAATGAATGTATATCAATGATTTAATGAATTACCCATCATCACGAAGCTCCCGTAACCGATCAACAACTCTAATTCCCCATAAAATCCTCTAAAACATGCATTAAACGCCGAGCCATCGTGTGCGTTGTCATTCCGACAGTATAACCCGCACGTTTCTCCGGTAACCCACATTTTTGTTCCACATACACGGCACAACGACCGATAACCACATCAAAGGCGAGAGTGAACCACTGGAATCGAGCGAACGAAAACCCCTCGACCCGGCTAATTTTCAAAAAGCCAACATCACTAAAATCGTATCATTTCCCAGTGGAATCTCGTCGATTGAGTCAGACGGGACAGCACTCGGCTGCACTCGGTGTGCCTCGTCAAATCCGTTATCCGATTATCGCATGCCATCGTCCGTGAGTATTTCATTGCACGTGCAATACAACGTCAAATGCCTCGCAATAATTCGAATAAATACAACTGAATAAACCGTTTTGATCTTTCGTTCATCAGGCGGCTGAGGTGGGGGTAAAACGGTTGGGTGCCACGTGGGATTGATACTGAGGTGTCTGCGGCTATTTGGGGACCAGAATGATACAGAGAAAAAAACAATTACATGAAAAACTGAAGCGAAATTGGCATTTTTGGTTGAAATCGAGGAAAAAAATGAGAAGTGAGAAATAATTTTATAACGCAATTTTTTTTTAATAGTAAAACTGTGAGATGTTGGTAAAAAAGTGAGGAAAAGAAATAAATTTTGTCTTAGTTAACATCTTAATTGTGAGAAAATGAACGTTTCTGTCTCAAATCAACATTTTTATGCACAAACAGAAAAAAATACACGAAAAATGAGATTGAAATTGTAATTTTTATTTGAAGACGCCAAAAAAAAGTGAGATAAAGGATAATTCTGTTTATAACATAATATTGCTCAAAAACAGTATAATTTTAGTCAAAAAAATGCAAACAATTTTTTTTTTCATCTCATTTTGCATTTTAACCATGACAAAAAAACATTTGCCTCTCGACCCACCATTCCCCCATTTGTAACCCAAAAAATCCCCGCCGCAGGGTCACAAAAACCCTCGAAATACTGACCTTGAGCTTGTCATAAGTGGTGTCAAGCTCCAATCGATGAACAAATGGATTGAGAATATCCGTGTCGATGGAAGCAGCATCCAGTTGATCCTGATGCATTTTTCCGTTAATCTCCTCCATTCGGTGGATTTTATTTGAGCCGAACGGCCTGCCACGTCCGCCGACTCAAATCCAACAACACTGCGCCACCAGATCAACCCCTTTCAGTCCGCCAAGCCGACAAGATGCACAGAAAAAAGATATTTTGATTCGCGACACTTTTGATTATTCGTTTCCCCCTCAAATATTTATTTAAAACTAATACGAAGGGCGATGGGTCTAGCGACGGCGCATCACGAGGGGGTTAACACACCACCTGAATTGACGCAATTGGATGCGCGATGCGATAACTGCGAGCACCCGTTTGGCAAATAAATTAAACAGCACTCGAATTATTCCTGAATTATTACTTCATTTGTCTACTGATTTCCGGGGGTTCGCGGGGGGCTGTGGGCGCTGCTCATGTCACTGGGGGTCTCGCGGTGGTTACGATGAGGGACAAATAATAGTAAGTAGAGACGGACCGTGTGGAGCGGACGAGTCGCTAGCGCGTTCGATGCCCGACTGAAAAGCCAGACGGAAGGGAGAGCTTTACACGCTTCCCCGTTCCTACGGTGACTCGTGTTCCGCCTTTCGCCGTCGGTTTTTTTTTCCCTGGGGTCTCGATTCACCCCACATTAATGCCGCACTCACGACGCGCGAATTGCGGCGGATAAAGCGCGGGGTTTCGAGTGTCCCCCCCGCCCTCTGGGGTCAGGGGATCGGCTCAATCCGCCGGGAAATGGGTGTTCAGATGATTTGGAAGGGGGTGGGGTATCTTTTCGGGTGGATTCATCTAGATGCCACGTGCGCGCGACGGAGGGGATCATAACCTCGGTGGAATATGGAGAAGGAACTCCTTAAGGCACTCGTCGGCTTCTTCTCGGCGCTCGAGAGGACCGAGGGGAAGTGGGCGGAGCGCTGTCAGGGGGTGCAGGCCAATCTCGAGGGGTTGAAGAATTTCTCGGAGCAGAGGGAGCATGTCTTCAGGTATTTTTGCAATTAGTGACGATCGTTGATGATTTTTTTAAGGGGCTCTAGGGTTCTAGGGGGTTCGTCAGGGTTGAGGGCTTTTAATTTTTTTTAAATTGTCTTACTGAGGAGCTTTTAGGGGGTCCTGACGTTTGCAGCATTGTTTTGATTTCTTGGGGGTTTTTTTATTGGGTGGGAGAGTCTATTTTGGGAGAGTTTAATGGAGATGGCGGCACTTGCTTGCAGCAGGGACGTCGATGATGCAGAGATCTGCGGGATTGGAAATGTGCGGGAGAGACTGGGGTTTAAAATTGAGGTGAGGATGGAGGAGGAGATTTCGGGGGTCAGGGAGACCGTTCAGCACCTCGGGGAGTTGAATCAGGTAATGCCGGAGGTCAAAGTGCTTAATTATATTTATTAATTTGTACTGCCGTTAAATTTAACGATTTTTTCTGGGTTTACACCCGTCGTTTTGGCTTATGTCGGGATAATTTGAGTTACTTTTCACTTCTGACTCCCTTTTTAGTTTTAACTCAGATTTGTTACATTTTTGTTTGTCCCCATTTTTACTTTATGAGAATAATAAAGTTAATTGGATAACTCGACGGTTGAGTGCATTTTTAACCGGATTTATGGGGCGATTGATGTTTAGGAACTGAAGAATAAATTAGTTCAACTGGAGAAAGTGAGGAGTAAGGCTTTCGTTGACGATCCTAAGATGAAGGAGATCGTGGAGGGAACTCCGCACAGACCTCGCTTGAACCTTCTCCTAGAATGGGCCATTGATGCTCAGGATTATTACCAACAGCGGTATTCAATCCCCAAAAAATCAATTCCACATAGGGGATGTTGGGGTAAAACGGACACTTTCAGCTTTTTTTTAAATGTTAATGAGGGGTTGAAATGTTAATAAAATTTAATAGTTTTTTTTTTCAATACAAAGAACAATTCTTTCCCTTTATGACGAGCCTTAACTGAGCTCAATTGATCAATTTGTTTCTGAGTTATGAATTATTATAAAAAAGTCTAAAGTGTGCGTTTTACCTCACCCTCCCCTAATTCAAATGACCGTTTACTAATCAATTTTTTAATTAAAATTCAGATACCACGAAATTAATGAGAGCTTCAAAGCTGTGGACAAGACGAAACGAGAAACGATTCTAGAATTAATTGAGACGTTTGGAAGAAAAGGAGACAGAGCTCTACTGAATCGTAATTATCGTGCTGTTATCAGTGCTAATTTCAACTTGAAATGATCGATAATTACGGCGATTGTGTGTTTTCAGGAATATTGGGCTTCACGCAGTACCTAGCGAGGGAAAAGATCCGATGAAATTTCCGAATGTATCTCAATAAATTTATGTTTTCCTTAATCAACGCGAACTGTCGCATTCAATGCTTTATATCATCAATCGTCACCCCAATTATCAACCCTCCTCTCAAGTGTTACGTAACTCATTTAACAAACGAGATGAGTGAGAACTCCGATAATTCCAATTGGCCATCGGAAATCTGATTCACAGGGGCTGATGGAATTGTTCTGCAAGAGCTAACAATTGCCATTCTGATTCTAGTATCTTCATTATTCGATATGGGTTTTCTATCGAAGCTCGCTGACACTTGTCGACTCCTCAAAACATTCCGAATGGGACTACTAACGTCTGAGTAATTAACAAAACTATTCAGAATTGAAAAGAAGAACAAAAAACTAGAATGAAAAGTTTTTAAATTGTTTTTTTAAATTAATTTGCAAGAGGAATGCAGTTATCAGTCCATTGTCAACTCCTCAAAACATTCCCAACGGAGCAGTTAACTCAAACAATTAACCGAATAATTACTGAAACTATTTAGAAATTTAAAAAACAACAAAAAATAAAATTAACGATTTTCATATTAAAAATCGAATGCTAATTATTCTCTAAATTACTGGGGAACAAGGGAAACAATAATTGGAGATCAGTGATATGATGAAAAGGTCTCACCACCCACATGAAAAAAAATATCAGAAAGAGTCGTCTCGGCGCCGGCGCCCGCTATTGATTCCGGCGTCGTGACATACAGGAACAAAACCCATGAATTTACCCCCAAATGACAAAAGGTTACATCCAACATCCTAGAGGGTGCGACAGTAGCAAACAGCCTCTCGTGCCCCAAAGGAGAAGGCACCTCCGCGCGCGTATCTTCGGCACTGACCCCCTCCCACCCCCACAGGTCAGTGTTATTTTTTTATTTATCAATTAAAAGTTTATGCTCGAAGTATCTCGTACCCGCTAGTATCCTCATTAAAATTTCCATCGTAAAGGAAACCCCGGGGGATCCTCGAATCCACCCCCATCCCCTTCACCTCGAGAGTCGCTCACTCGGAGAATATTTCCTTCGAACGTTTTATCGCGAAATATTTTCCACATCTCGTGGCTCTGGATTATCGATTGAAGTGCCTCAAACCGGAGGAAATAAAGTGATCTTTAACGTGACTTAAACATCTTGTGAATAATCTTGATGAGTTTTTCAACGCGACGATTGGCTAGAACCTCTGACGTCAGTGGAAACACTCGCTGATCGCTCTAGTTTTTTTTACTTATTTATCTGGATCGTTTGTAGCTGAATTATTCAGGGATGGGGGCTAGGGGTTGGTGTCAGCCGTAGGTGGAGACTTGGTTCTTGGTTCTGAGAAATTCATGCAGGAAAAAATTTCAGAGGAAAACGTAGCGCATGAAGTGGAGAATTTTATTGAATTCCTGGTTGATAATTCCACTAGTTTTTTGACCGATTCTTTTGGAGAATTTTGGTGATTTATAGATCAGTAGAATTTCATATTTTTATTCAACTTATTCCAAGTTTTTTCACTCTATTTTACTGTTTTTTTTTCATTTAATAAATCGAAAATTTAAGCTGAGGAAATTCCATAGAAAATACCTCAATGAAATAATTTGCACAGAAACATCGAATTCTATTGATTATTTCTCCAGAATATTTTCCACTAAACATTCATATTATTTCAATAAAATCAGCTAAAAACTAATGAAAAAATCAATAGAATTTTCAATCGAATTCGCGTGATATTCCAATGAAATTTTTTCGTGCGCGTCGCGAAGGTTTGAGGATTAGATTCTTTATTTCGGGGACTTTGGGAATGAATATTGACGGACCGCAGTGGTTTTTTTTTCTGGGTGAATGGATATAGCTCGGTGATAAGGATTGCCTTCTGAATTATTCCCTTTTTTCTTTCACCGAGACGAAGTGGGAGAGGTCAAGGTGACGAGGAATGAATCAAGAATTTCTTCGGGCCAGTAGTGCGTACCAATGAGAGTCAGACGGTTCGCCCTTTGCGAATTCACATTTCTCTGATCTTTCGAGTCGCTCCAGTTCCCCTCAATATTTTCAAATAACAATCCGCTATTAATCAATACAAATAAAGAAAAAACTGTTCTAAATCCAATCAGTTTTTTGAGAAATCGATTGCCCTCAGCTTGCAGGATGGAGTCGACGTCCCCTCGTGATACGTCGGTTTGATCGCATTTATCAATACTGAGGGAGTACTATTCACTCCCCACACGTTTGCTGAGGTACTCGGCGATCATGGCGAACACTGCTCATTTGGTCAGGAGACAGAGCTCGAGGGATCTCAAGCCACAGAAGAGTGTTGATCGTCTTGAAATGAAGGAGATGCGGGGGAGGCTCGTTGTCGAGAGCAGAAAGACAACTGCTACTGCCAGTTATGGAGCCACGAATGCGGGATTCGATGACTCCAGTCCAAACACCAAGGTTCGGAATTTTATTTGAACCAAGGTTTTTTTTTTATTTGAAGAATTTAGGACAGTTGTTTTTTTTTGTCTTGAAAAATTCATGAGAATTTAAAAAATAATTTTGTTATTATCATTATTATTATTATTATTATTATTATTATTACGTTACAGTTACAATGATTTTGTAAAACAGTTATCAATAAATATTTATTTCACTTATTTGTGTTTTTAAAATAATTTAATTCTCATAAAAAATTTCTGTTTCTAATAATTTGTGGTATGTTTTTAAAATTTATTTTTGAATGAAATTAAATATTTTATGCACTTTTTCACTTTCCTTTGGTCATTTTTTGGAATTCAAAAAGCAAATGGATTTTTTTTTGTAAAAAAGCGGAACTGAAGAAAATGTTTGAGTTTTATGTGATTTTCAATCATCAAATTAATTAAAAGGATTCATGGATAATCAGCGATTTTTTAATTCAATTCGGTAAAACGGCTTTTTGTTGAGCTTTCCTTTTTCAGAGATGAACGATAAAAATTGTTTAATATTGCGAAAATCTTATTTTTTATATAAAGTTGCTCTCTCAATGAATTCTAAACATGAACAAATATTAACATTGAGAAAAAGAATTATCAGCGTGGAGAATGGATTGTTAATAAATTATCCACAAAAGAAAACTTTACCTTTTCTAAACGGTAAACAATTTCAAATTTGTCGGCAACCTAGAAAAAATGTGGAAGGGGATTTCATCGATATTCCCCACAAGAAATGACAAGCAAAGTCTTGGCACTCCTTAATTCCCCCCAAAAATAGACACATCACCTCCTGAAAAACTCCACTCTCCATTATTTTGACAGCAAACGGATGAAAAGAGATGATGAAGCATATGCATTCGCGGCTCCCCCTATCCCCATCAATCAACTCCAGTTAGTCCAAGAGAACTGTTTATTTTTCTTAAAAAATCCCCGCGTTATCTCTGTAATCCACTCGAGTCCGGCTTTAACATCGACCCCGTTATCCGTAGAACCGCAGGTTTACATTAGCATTCTCCTGTTGATTGCAGAGCAAAGGTTTAAACACGGGGGATGGCGGAGGTGCCAGTGGGGTTGGGGGCAGTAAACTGGGTAGCAATGAGGGCAAAGCAATATTTCGTCCAGAGGCAGGTGAGGACGAGCGTGAAAACTGGGACAGCAAGTTAACATTTCTATTGGCCACTGTTGGATACGCCGTGGGCCTCGGTAATGTCTGGAGATTTCCCTATTTGGCGCAGAAGAATGGGGGTGGTATGGCCGTTAAAATAAATATGAGAGGAGAGTGCGGGGGCCACTGGGCCTACGTTTTCATTTCTTTCATCTTTGTGATTATTTTCAGGGGCTTTTCTCATTCCCTACTTCGTTATGCTCGCCATCGAGGGCATTCCAATTTTTTACCTGGAACTTGCCATCGGCCAGAGACTCAGGAAGGGTGCCATTGGTGTTTGGAATCAGGTGTCACCGTTTCTCGGGGGCATTGGCATCAGCAGCGCTGTTGTCTCGTTCAATGTTGCACTTTATTACAATACTATTATTGCCTGGTGCCTCTTTTACTTCGTTCAAGTAATCACAATGTTTTGAAATATTTTATTTTCAATTTTTGGTAATTTATGGCGCAAAATCCGTACAGAAAAACTTTCTTTTACTGAAATATCTATTAGTTTTAGGACTATTCTAGTGAACAAAACGCTTAGATGAGCTGGGGAATTTTTCGATAGAATCAGCCAAAAAATAATAACGTTCAAGAGAAATCCGATAGAATTTTCTAGCGAATTCGCTAGGTTTTTCTATGAATTTTTTTCGTACGTGTTTTTTCAACTTAAAACGGAAATTTATACTCAAGAAAAATTCATCCAGACAAGTCAACCGATAGATCGAGGCTAAAATAGATAGACTGTTTTGGAAAAGACATGAGATTTCCTTATTAATTTTTTCCATTCGTATTTTCGTTTGGATTTAATGCGTTGGAATTTTTATTCAGAGCTTCCAGTCCGAATTACCGTGGGCCACATGTCCCAACAAGTACTTTCAGAACGGGTCCTATGCCCCCGAACCAGAATGCCAGGTAAACAATGAAAAATCATCACTTCGTTCTATTTTGAGCGAATAAAAAAAATGGGGACTTGAGTTTCTCGAATTATTCTGCAGCAAAGCAGCCCAACGCAATATTTCTGGTATCGAACGACCCTCATGATCTCCAAGGACATCAACACGCCCGAGGTGTTCAATTGGAAGATCGCAATAGCCCTAGTGATCGCCTGGATCCTAGTCTATATGTGCATGATAAAGGGGATCGCCTCCTCGGGAAAAGTTGTGTACGTCACAGCCACTTTCCCGTACATCGTCCTCATCATCTTCTTCTTTCGGGGCGTCACGTTGAAGGGAATGTCCGACGGTGTGCGGCATCTCTTCACGCCGAAGGTGAATACAAAGACAAAAAAATAATGCATGCCAGATACTCCTCTCTAAACTGTAATTCATTTCTCTCTCGTTTTTACGGATTTTCTGCATTTTTTAATCTTTCGGGAGTTTATTCCTTTGACATTTTATATTGTGTCCTTTATTGCTGGAGACACTGTGTTTTTTGACATCATCTCTGGGAGGAGAGTCTCTTTGAAGTTTTAATACGAATTTAATCTGCTTAGAGTGGCTTGGGAGTTTTATTTCAATTGTGAAGTGGTTGAAATAGTCAATTACTAGCCCAGTTTCTGGGGAATTTCCTGAGAATTAATGCCGATGAGGAAATTTTTTTTTTGTACAATTTCTTTATTTTTAATTTTCGTGAAAATTCGATTGAGTTAGGAATTATTAGTTATTAATTATCAATTAAATGACAAATTGTCACCTTTCAATTTTATTTCTTCTCCATGAGATGAATTTCTTTAATGCAATAGCGATTTTCTCCTCTACGCATTATAGTGCTACAAAAAAGCTTTGAAATGGCCAGTAAATTCAGAGATCACTCATCATAAAATTCTCCTCATTCCAAATTTTCCTGAAAATTGAAATAACTCATGAATCATTAATTACTCATTATTAATCAAATGAATTACTCTCATCTAAATGTTTTTCCAACTTTTGTTGTTCCCTCCAATAGTTCTTCCCATAAATTTAGCTACCCATTCATAAATAATTAAACTCATATCAAATCGTCTTCTCTTGATTTTATTGTTTGTCACCATGAGATATTCCGAGATTTCTTAATGCAACTATTTTATTTTCTCTGCACATTATAGTGGTACACACTGACTGATCCAGTAGTATGGCTCGAAGCTGGCACCCAGATATTTTTCTCCCTTGGTTTAGCATTTGGAGGATTAATAGCATTTTCATCCTACAATCCAGTTAATAATAATTGTTATCGTGATGCCATTATGGTCAGCCTCACAAACTGCTTCACATCGATGTTCGCTGGCATCGTGGTATTCTCCATTATTGGTTTCAAAGCGACAATGGTGTACGAGCAGTGTCTGCACGATCGCAATCAGACGGTGCTCAGCATATACGGCCACAGTGAGAAAATACCCAGTGTCTTGCCCCCGGGGGGTACCCTGTTGAACATAACGAGTGGCAATGGTACTCTTGATAACATCATTATGCCGGAATTACCTGTGTGCGATCTCGAGAAGGAGCTCGACAATGTGAGCGCCCTTATTAATTCATTGAATTGAACTGAACGGGGCGATTTGGGCGCATAATTTTAATTCACTGACTCCTCTGTTGCAGTCCGCCTCCGGCACGGGACTCGCTTTTATCATTTTCACCGAGGCCATTAATCAGTTCCCTGGGGCTCAGTTCTGGTCTGTTCTCTTCTTCCTCATGCTGTTTACACTCGGCATTGACTCGCAATTTGGCACTCTTGAGGGCGTCGTCACCAGCATTGTTGATATGAAACTATTGCCTAATTTGAGGAAGGAAATTCTTACAGGTGACGTTTTCTGTTGATTCTGATTTTTTGCGGAGCCAGCCACAAACAAATTATTATTTCGAAATATAAATATAACGCGTCTCGAATATTCTGCATCGTCCTGAAGAAAAAATTAACGACAATTCATTATCATTATATTTCACTGAAAAGAATTATTATTATCTTCAAAATAATTGATTTTTCGGTTTTATAATTATTACATTTGAATTTTTTCTGAGAAATTTCGGACGATATAGAATATTTGAGAGGCGTTATATGAATGTCGAAATAATAATTTGTTTGTGGCTGGCGCCACATTTTTTTTATGTGGAAAATTTGAAAGAAATTCCGTTGAAGTTTTCTGCAGAACTTTCTCTCAAATCGCAAACTATTTCAGTTTAAGAAAGACTTTCCAATTCATCGTTTTGTTGGAGAAAATGTCAAAAGACATTTTTCAATGAAATAAAAATACGAAAAAAAAGAAAATAAAACTGCGAAAATGTCTTTATGAATTAGGCTTCAACTGTTGACCATTGCAGGTGGAATTTGTCTAATTTGCTGCATAATTTCGATGGCATTCGCCCACGGCGCCGGAAGCTACGTATTCGTTCTGTTCGATAATTTCAGCGGAAACTTCCCCCTGTTAATTATTGCCTTCTTCGAGTGCGTCGGAGTGTCCTACGTCTACGGGCTCAAACGGTACCTAATTCAAATAATCAATTACAATTGACCTCTGTAACGCGTAATTGACCCGCCCTTTGACGCAGGTTTGCCGATGACATCGAACTGATGACGGGCAATCGGCCCGGGCTCTACTGGCTCATCTGCTGGAAGTACCTCAGTCCACTAGCCATGTTAACTATTCTCGTAGCATCTTTCGTTGAAATTGTGACCAAGGGCACGGGATACGACGCCTGGATACCCAGCAAAGGTGTCACCGAGAGGCATGAGTGGCCACCCTGGGGCATGATCCTCATCGCTATTTTAATTAGCGCTTCGGTTCTGTGGATTCCAGCTGTTGCTATTTTCAGGTGATTTTTCTTGCAAATGTTTCTTTTTTCATTCAATTTTCTCATCGTTTAGAAATTCCCGGAAATAATAATGAGGACAATGAAAAAAAAATCTGGACTTTTTCTATAGAAATTCGTCGGCTCAAATTTTCCTAAATTTGTTTTATTTTTCTAATGAGAAAAAAAGAAAAATGTATTGAAAGATGAAATTCGAATGGATTTGTCTATAAAATAATTTTTACTGAAATTTTCTTTAAAAAAAATATAATAATAATAATAATAATGTATTTTCAATAGAAATCCAATAGAATTTTGAATCGAATTCGCTACATTTTTCTACGAAATTATTTCGTTTGTGAAATATTGAAAGATAAGTTCATATTTTATGATGTTCTATTAAAAAATGAAGTTATCTCTCTTTAATGATGATTAAATGACGTCATTTCAGATTCTTCGGAATTCTCATTATCGATGATAACGAAAAAGCCTGGTTCCCAGCGCAAGACCTCAAAGAATTTCACGGAATAGTTCCCCACGAGGTGACAGCAGCCGAAACCCTCCTCTTCTGCATCAGGAGCGACGGGTCCGAGGGCCTGTGCTGTCCCACGGGTGGTTCCAATGACGATGACGACGAGGATCTCACCTAGAACATCCTCCGTCAGTCTAGGTTACTCAGGCCAGACTAAATTATACCAAAACTCCAAGTGAAACGAGAATTTTAATGGCTCTCGACTGCAACTGTCTGCTCCCGCAATTTTTCTTTTCAATGTTCCCTCGATTTATCATTCTCATCGTTCATAGGAGAGGATTCGCACTATCGTAGGGTCAACCGTGTCAATTACGCTGTGAAAATAACTCGTTAGCGATGCCTGCCTACTCCCTACCACGAAGAAAAAAAATCCTAATGAATGATTTACGTACAAAAAACAAATTCCTCTTGTTGAATAGTGGATTATCACGACGAGTGCTTCTGTAGAAAAATAGAACATTTTCTCGTGAAGTCACTCCTTGTCGAGTTCATTCCACAATTACCAGATTCAATTTATCGTATCAGGTACGAAAAAACTTCATTTTATTTCATTGAATAAATTCCGCAGCTTATCTGCACATTTTCTATGGAATATATTCTATAAAAAAAATCATCAGAATTTCATTTTTTTGTGCAAATTATTCTATTGAAATATTTTCTACAAAAATGACAAAAAAATAAAAAAATCATGTCGAGAAATTTTTATAGAAAATATCTCAACAGAAAAAGTTCCATAGAAGATGAAATTCTGCTGATTTTTTCTATAAAATAATTTCCATTGAACATTTCCTATAAAAAATTGTAATAAAGCTGCAGAATTTTTCAAGGAAGACACAAGGTTTTTCAACAAAATTTTTCCGTGCGTTAAACCACTTCACAACATAATTCTCCATCCAAAAATACGTTAAAAGGTATTGAATGGCAGATTGAGGATAGAGATGTCGTTGCATATCGAGAACCCCCGCGGTATATCGTAATAATCAATTTAACTTCGTGTGACGAATAAATAACCACCGAAGTTGAAGTATTAATCTTAGAATAGGGGCCGTCCATTGGGCTTAATAATCATCCAGTTCACTCTTCACTACCCTTGAGAAGAAACATTTCAACGAGTCCTCTAATTTTTGAGAGATTTTAAAGTTCAATTAATTTGTGGAGAAAAATAAAATCAAGAAAACCGAAGACAATAAGACAAACTTACGAAGAATAACGACAATAATTGTTGATTTATTATTAATTGCACTGCACTCTGAGCACCTTGAAATAACCGAGGCCTATTTATCGAAACGAAATGATAATAATTACGCGTGATTAAGGTTTAACGTAAGGTGCATTTTCTAGAATTATTTCATCATCGGGTTTATTGAATTTTTGAGATTATTTAATGATTGTTACACATGACCTACAGTCGCTCGGCTATTGATCTTCCCTCACCAGCCGCATCTAGAGCTACATATATCTGATTGTTACACAATACATATCCTCTGATCGTTACATATTTATAATTACACAAGTACCCAGAGGCGACAAATGCAACTGAATATCGAGTTAAGATTACTAAAGAGACTGGTGTGTACAAAAAAATATGAAAGAATTCATCGAGAGTTGAAATTTCGTTACGAGCTGATAAACCCGAATAAACCACGTGCGAAAAACTGTCACAGAAACATCTAGCGAATTCGATAGAAAATTCTATTGAATCCATTCAACTTTCTGCCAGTTTTTGATCGAGCCTGTGCATTCTTTTTAAATAGCAATTTTCAAGAATTAGATTTTTCTATGCAACTTAATATATTGAGATGTTTTCTACAGAAATTCCTCGGCTAAATTTTTTGGGATTTTTTATTCAACTTTTCGAATGAAAGAGAATTGAGCGAAAAACACTTGGAAAATTCCTGTCGATAAATTCCTGTAGAAAATGTCAATAGAAAAATGAATTACTACTGATTTTCTATAAAATAGTTTCTATAGGGCATTTTCAGTGGAATTCTTCAGTGGAATCGTCCAAAAACTAGTAGAATTTTCCATCGAATTCGTCAGGTTTTTAAATGATATTTTTTCGCGCGTGAAAAAATATCCTAAAGATATCACGAAAAATATATCAAAACCGCAAATGCTGGAGTAATGAATAATCGACACGAGCCGACTACTACTGTTAACCCATAGAAACTACCAAACGAGATAATTGTGTTGCTTGAAGACGTTCCTAGAGTTCTCCTTAGACATCTGGTAATTTTTCGTAGAAAGTAATAAAGTAAGATTGTAAATAGAGTTTAAGATTTCATGCGCACAGTGAGGATAATTCAGTGTATTCAATTTGCAGTATCAATAATTCTCCTAGGCATGTAAAACGAGAGAAAATATAAGGACAACAGGCCTTCGAAGTTGTTCATAAACTTTTCCCGAGTGAATTAGTTCGGTAAATCGACGTAACAACTGGACAATAATTTTTTTTGGATGAGGAAAAGAGGAGTTATTATTCATATCTTAGTTATACATATCTTGAGTCGTATTTCGATCGAAAGGGACAATAATTTCGACAATTCAGTAGCGAAGTGGTCAAACGGTTTAAGTCAATAAATCTTTAGTTGAGTTTTCCCGAAATATTTCCGAATTTAAGGGAGATAGCGAAATTTTTATAATAACCTTTTTTGTAGAGCGAATTGAGTGCTACTAAAAAGGTTATGAGAAAAATTTCGCTATCTCTCCCAGATTTCGAGATATTCATTGAAAACTGGCCAATAGCCAAAATCGACTTGAACCGTTTGACCACTTCGCTACTGAAGTCATCGCGGTATATTTAGAGTATATTATTATTGAGAGGGTAATACCGTTGTTTATGAAGAATTCTAATTTCTGTTACTGGTGACAGATTTAATGACTAGCTTACGAACGATGAATTACTCATTATTTATCTACTGCAGGACGCATATTTATACGTACATTATAGAAATTCATCTGAAGCGGTAATACATGATTGAATAAACCTATTATACAATTAAAATTATGTATACGCAAAGCTGTACATATATATTGTTGTCAGTTGAATGTTGAAATAAATACTGTGAGTGAATATATGGGGTTTTTTTAGTTTGAGGTACCGTATTTCCGTTATGCTCCAGCTAGTCAGCGGTCGGAGCGTGACGGGGAGACGAGGATGATGTGGAGATTTATTTTATCGGATGGAGTAGTGAGTAGTTTTTGTTGCATTCCTTTGTTGAGAGAAAAATCATTTCAATAGATCATTAGTCGTTGAAATCTTAATTTTTTTCTTCGTTTATTCGATGACAGTTGAATTTTTTGATAAACTAATTGCATTTCTCATCAGATTTTTGGGAAATAATCACTCAAGAAATTCAGGTTGACGAAATTGAAAGAGAAAAATTTTTATCTAATGCTTAAATCTCGATTTTTTTCTTTCATTCATTTTTTTCGTTTTTCAAATTAAAAAAATGTGAAAAATAGACATTTTAGTTACAATTTTAGGTCAAGTATTGAGTTTGTCATGAACTTATTCCATTTTTATGGGGTTTTTATTGAAGGACCATTAGAAAAGTCATGTTACCCCACGTGAAAAAATGAAAAAGTAATTTTTAAGGAAATAATGTTAAAAATGAATTAGTGGACGACTGAAGAAATTAGTTCTGATGGAGTTAAATGAGACTTTTAAAGGCCTCATTGTGGGCGTGCGTCTGGACAGACCATCAGATGAGATTCTAAACCAGCGCTTGGGTACAAACAATGTGTTTATTGTCTCTAGTACACATCCTCCATTAGACGTCATTCAGACGCGATTTCCTCTTGTCGTGGGCGAATGATCCCTCGGCCTACTCTCCATAAGCGATTTCGTCATGGTTTCTCTCGCCTTATTTGGCGGATTCTTGCTGCACCTATCGAAACTCGTTTTTGCCATACGCGAATAGCCGCGGTTGGCAATTAGTGAGGCCGTTTCGGAAAGAGGGACATGGAGGAGTCGAAAGTGCAGAATCGAGACTCGCGCAGAACATTATTTTCGCAAAATTTGTGAGTAAAATACCCACAGTTGAGTATACCGGGAAATCTTTCGACATTTTTCAACGGAAAATGTTTTCAGATTTTGTTCTGTTATCATTTTTAAACTGGAACTGAATTTTAATTCGATTTTAATCTCATTGGCATCGATTCGAGAAAAACATTTTAACGAGTTCTCTAATATTTCGGGGATTTTAAACTTCGATTAATTTGTGGAGAAATTTAAACTCAAGAAAACAAATAAAATGAGAAATTCATGAAGAATGACAATAGTTATTGATGATTTTTTAATGGAAAATGTGTTAACATTTTCATTCGGAACTTTTCATCACTAAAACATTTAGTGATTCAACACGGGAAAAATATAAAATTAAAAATTAAAATGGGAATTTTTCCTGAACAGTGACTTTATATGTTCAACAGTAAAGTTTGAGTGAAAAATAATTTTACACATAATTCCCGTGAATAAAATACGACAAATCGTCTCCCACGATTGATCTCCACTTTAAAACAAATCCCCTGAAATTCAAAACATAAATAGAGCGATAGTTGTCGCGTGGGTATCGCCAAGAAAACCCGAAGAAATCCTTCATCGGCATGACCTCACCGCCGTAAATGGTATTCGCTCGTTGCCCTGACGTCACTCCCCGATAAACTCCATTGAATTGAAGTATCGCTCCACAAACTAAAGAGCAATATGCAACCCCCGCCCCCTCCGAGAGCCCCACGTCGACCCGAATTCGAAAAGAGAGAAATCCCTCCGGGAAAGCCCGCGCCTTCGCTACCTGAAGTTGCATTCCCTAAAAAAAAAAGCAGACTAGGATTTCCAAAAGAATCGCGGGGGAATTGAAGTGGCAGATGTTTTTCTTCTCCATGGGGATTTCGTTTGGCAGAGTCCCCCCGGTTATTGGCCTCGCCTCCGCCTCCAACAGCGCGGTTTTCTAACGGTTAAACTGCATCCCAGGGACGTCGTGAAAATTTCAGTACCCGAAAAACCAAGACGCGGGACTTGAAAAATTGTCTCTCATGATTTTTCGTCAAGGAAGTGGCATTTTTGAGGGCATGAGCGGATAGGTCGTTGGACGGATGCATCTTACACGCCCTGAGGCTATTTATACCTCGTGTCTCGACGCGCCGGAAATACGAAGGGTGTGTTTATTTCATTTTTCTCGAGGAATTCTCACTCTCACTGACTTCTAAATTCACGAGAACCGAAGGTTCGTAAATTTCTGTGAAAATAAATGAAATGATTTTTTAATCCTTCCCTGTTTTCCCCTATGTATTCCCTATTACTTTCATCATTCTCCTGGAGAAAAAGTCTTCATTCTCTCGTCAACTTGGGGATTAATAAATAGGTTTTGTCTCGGGAGAAAATTCCACTGGGATTTTTGGGACTGAATTCGGTTATATTCGGTAGGATTCCTCTGTTCGTGCTGCTCCGGTGCTGCGTCCGACGAGGATTACACCGAGAGCGGAAGGCCGAGGGGCGGGGGACCCGAGCCTATATAAGACCGAGTGCCTCTCGGGGCGTATTACAACGCTGAGATCGTTTGTAGGAGCTCCATCGCCAGCTTCGATTAAACGAGATCAAGTTTCACTCATTCTCTTCGAGAATTGAAGTTCTGTTTTTGTGTGTTTCGGGAGAAATCAATCAAAATGGTATGTATTTTCTTTACTCCTATTCTTGCGATTTTTGAATTTGAACTGGGAGTTTTTCGCCACGTGGCGACGCTCACGCGCTCAACGCATTTCGGGGCGAAAGTCGCGGTCTTTCTGAGCGTTTTTACGGGATAAATCCGCAATTACGCAGTTTGAAGTCGACGAAAATGTGAATAATCCAATTATTATCGTTTATAAAACGTTTGTGAGGTTTAAAAAAACCGATTGGGCGTTGGAAAAATTTTAAACGGCCTCGGAGGCCTCAATTCGCAGTTAAAGATCGGCGATCACGGTAATTAACGGGTTTTCCAAGGTTAATGAGTATCACGTTCCTGCAACGTGCAAATTCTTGGCCGGTTTATTGCACATATGCCGGCTCTGCCCCCTTTTGATGATTTTCCGTTGAGCGTCGGTACTTTCACGGGCGTTACGCGCCAAGTAAAAATAGCTGGCGTCCCAGGGCCGTGGGACTGGCCACTCAGGCCCTGTCAGACCCATTCTCTTCTCGGAAATTATTTGAATTCGGGAGACATTTTTTTTCTAAACCGTTCTTTTCTTCCGACGCTTGAATTCAAATGCGGGATGACCAAAAACTGAATTTATCCGATAGATAATAATTATTTTAATTAATTCTTTCATTCACTCGTTATATATTATTTTAATTAATTGATTGATTTTTAAGCGTGCATGTTTTATTTGATTATAATTTCTTTATTTTATTATATTTATAATTATAATAATTTTATTCAATTATTTAATTCAGTAGCGAAGCGGTAAACCGGGTCAAGTCGTTTTTTACTATTGGCTAGTTTTTGACGAATATCTCGGAATCTAAAAGAGATGGAAAGATTTTTGTCATGACCTTTTTTGTAGAGCCAATAGAGCGGTATAAAAAAGTCATGAGAAAAATTTTGCTATCTCTCTTAGATTCCGAGATATTCAGCAAAAACTGGCTAATAGTTAAAATCGACTTAACTCGGTTTACCGCTTCACTAACTGAATTATAATTATAATAAAAAATAAAAAAAATTATAATCATTATGGATCATTAGTTATAATTGATTAATTTTTAGCCGTGAATGTTTTACTCAATGATAACATTATAATTTATAATGTTTTATTTTTCAGCGTGAATGTATCTCAGTCCACGTTGGCCAGGCCGGAGTCCAGATCGGTAATGCCTGCTGGGAGTTGTACTGCCTGGAGCACGGTATCCAGCCCGACGGGCAGATGCCCTCTGACAAGATGTTGGGAGGTGGTGACGACAGTTTCAACACCTTCTTCAGCGAGACCGGGGCTGGCAAGCACGTACCACGCGCTGTGTTCGTTGACCTGGAGCCAACTGTTGTTGGTCAGTACAGTTACCCCGACTGCTATGATTTTCCGATGGGATTAGCGTGAGTTAACACTTCTAATTGGGTTTACAGATGAGGTCCGCACGGGAACGTATCGCCAGCTGTTCCACCCCGAGCAGTTGATCACTGGAAAGGAGGACGCCGCTAACAACTACGCGAGAGGTCACTACACCATTGGAAAGGAGATCGTGGATTTGGTTTTGGATAGAATTCGAAAACTCGCCGACCAGTGCACTGGGCTCCAGGGATTCCTGATCTTCCACTCGTTCGGCGGTGGCACCGGCTCGGGATTCACTTCTCTCCTCATGGAGCGTCTCTCAGTGGACTACGGAAAGAAATCTAAACTGGAATTCGCGATCTACCCGGCTCCCCAGGTCTCCACAGCCGTCGTCGAGCCCTACAACTCTATTCTGACGACCCACACCACCCTCGAGCACTCCGACTGCGCCTTCATGGTCGACAACGAGGCCATCTACGACATCTGCCGCAGGAACCTCGACATCGAGCGCCCGACCTACACCAATTTGAACAGACTGATCGGACAGATTGTGTCGTCAATCACAGCTTCTCTTCGCTTTGACGGGGCTCTCAACGTCGATCTCACCGAGTTCCAGACCAACTTGGTCCCCTACCCGAGGATTCACTTCCCCCTGGTCACCTATGCGCCAGTCATCTCGGCTGAGAAAGCCTACCACGAGCAGCTGTCCGTCGGCGAGATCACCAACGCCTGCTTCGAGCCAGCCAACCAGATGGTCAAGTGCGATCCTCGACATGGAAAGTACATGGCCTGCTGCATGCTCTACCGAGGTGACGTTGTCCCCAAGGACGTCAACGCAGCCATCGCCACCATCAAGACCAAACGTACCATCCAGTTCGTCGACTGGTGTCCCACTGGGTTCAAGGTCGGCATCAACTACCAGCCACCGACTGTCGTGCCTGGTGGCGATCTCGCCAAGGTGCAGCGTGCCGTCTGCATGCTGTCCAACACCACCGCCATCGCCGAGGCGTGGGCTCGTCTCGACCACAAGTTCGATCTCATGTACGCCAAACGCGCATTCGTCCACTGGTACGTCGGCGAGGGCATGGAGGAGGGAGAGTTCTCCGAGGCGCGAGAGGATCTCGCCGCNCACCATCCAGTTCGTCGACTGGTGTCCTACTGGGTTCAAGGTCGGCATCAACTACCAGCCACCGACTGTCGTGCCTGGTGGTGATCTCGCCAAGGTGCAGCGTGCCGTCTGCATGCTGTCCAACACCACCGCCATCGCCGAGGCCTGGGCTCGTCTCGACCACAAGTTCGATCTCATGTACGCCAAACGCGCATTNTACCATCCAGTTCGTCGACTGGTGTCCCACTGGGTTCAAGGTCGGCATCAACTACCAGCCACCGACTGTCGTGCCTGGTGGCGATCTCGCCAAGGTGCAGCGTGCCGTCTGCATGCTGTCCAACACCACCGCCATCGCCGAGGCGTGGGCTCGTCTCGACCACAAGTTCGATCTCATGTACGCCAAACGCGCATTCGTCCACTGGTACGTCGGCGAGGGCATGGAGGAGGGAGAGTTCTCCGAGGCGCGAGAGGATCTCGCCGCCCTCGAGAAGGATTACGAGGAGGTCGGCATGGACTCCGCCGAGGGGGAGGGCGAGGGCGCTGAAGAGTATTAAAAGCTCAACTATTCACGTGTATTCTCACAGCACAATGTAATCGCTTTACTGAGGATTAAAACGACTTTTGTAATCCAGATCTGAATTATCGTTCATTCTCCGATCCAAAAATCCCCTTTAATCCATTTTCGAACACAAAAAATCCCAATAATTCACGAAAATCAGTAAAAATCATGAAATAGTGCAGAATAAAATACTGAAAACGTGACAAGGTATCATTAAATTCAAAGGCAGTAGACCTGGAATATATATTTTTCTATATACACACTTTAATAACGAAAAACAAACATTACAATGTGAGGATAATAATAAGATTGGTAATATAATTATTATGCAATGATAGAGTTGTTTATCGATCGTAGTGAATCCTAATAATTGCGCCCCTCATTTCTCCAGCATTCGTGTTCAAGGAAATAACTGTTCGCGTTGTGGTATCATAATATTCGGTTTCAAATTCATTATTGATGATTGTGGGGGCGCACTGGCGTCACATTCACCCCCCGTTCCACCTTCGCAGAGCTCGGGGGGGTGAAATGTCCACCAGAAGCTTTCTCTTCTATTTTTCTCACTTCTTTCACCCTTAGAATAGATATTACAGTGCAATTATCTAGAAAAATCTGTCTTTTTATGCATCTTACACATTCAAATACTCGAAATTTACAATATTATTGCCCTTACAAACATTAAATTACTATCGAGCGGTAGTAATCTGTAATTTATCTCTATTCTCTTCATTTTTCATTCCGTTATTCTCTTCACTTTTCAATGATTCATTGTTCTCCCGCTCAAGTGGGAGTCTCGAGATAATTATGTTCAACTACTTTAGTATTATTTTTTAATTCTTGTTCCCGTGGTCTAGTCGGGTGTCGATGATCCCGCGTATTATCCCGACTTTTCTATTATTCGTGTACTTTAGTCAATCAATCGCCAAATAATCCTTTGGCATCACGAGCTTATTTATCATTCATAAATGACAAATCATCGATTCTATCGACTCTAGCGCACAATCTCGTAGAGCCAACGAACAAATTACGAGGCTTTATATACAATATGTCAATTCATAAAACGTTGATTCAAAAAATCGGTAAATAAATAGATTCTATAAAAATGAGATACTCTTTTCATTATTTAATATGTTTTTTTTGTTCATTTGGGGCAAAAATAAATAACCGAGATGATGAAGTATCCTCTCCAGAATTCCCACGTCAATTTCATAATTTTTATTCGTTACTTTTGTTGTTAATTGATGGTTAAAGCTCGATTATCGTGAAAGACGTAAGAATTCGCTTTAATTCTCATCAAATATTGGACATTTCTCTTGTTTCACTTCTCGCAACATTTACAACATCATGAAGTGTCTGGCGATGACGATGAAATGATGATTAAACTCATTAAATAAATGTCAGTCACAACTGGCGAAGAATTTTGAGCAAACTATTTTTTTTTAATAAAATGATGGAGATAAATCAGAGGTACAGCAACTAATCAACAATTTTAATTCACAATTACAAGTACACAACAATGTTCATTTGTAAATGATAAATCGAGGAGAAATTATAGTTCTTCTTCACCATTAGTTCATCTTCCTCTTCACTCGTTTTTTTTTATTATTATTAATCGCACGACTACGCAAATACAAAATATATAATTAATGATTCGTCCGAGGATTTTGGACCCCGAGTTTCCATTAGCTGATCGCTCTCATCTCCATTTGTAATCATCTTATACTTTTCTTTCTCTCGCTCTCTCTCCCATGATCTGAGCTCACGTCATTCTACATTTATCACAATATTTTTCTTTAAATTACCCATTTACTTATGCACTTTTTGTTCATTTGAATTCATTATTTTTATTAACTTTTTCATCTTGTTTTCGGATTGATTAATAAGTTACGTTGGAGTAGAAGGTAAGACAGTGTTCAATTGGAAGAAAATTCTCGGTTGAAATTTTTCAATGAAAATTATCGTAACAATTTATCGTAATTGAAATAAACATTTTTATTGCGAGTGACGAGTGGAGTTGATATCAACATCAGAGGCAGAGGAATAGACAGATAGACAGTACTAGATAAATAGCTTTAGTAATAATTGCGGTAAATAGTAGTGATAATTAGATAATCTGAGTTATTGCTATTAGCACTGGCTAGGAATACGATCTACGATTGGTACAAAATTCATCAATTCATTCGAATAAAGAATAGGGGGAGACGAAAATATTAAATGATAAATTCATCGATATGTCAACGGATATTTCTAGAGTCAATTCAACTCTAACAATTATCGATATAATTTGTAATTTTATATAGTTAACTTCGAGAAGGGAGGAGAAAAATAATGAGGATTAGAGATATGTTCTTTTACGTCGAACTACGAGTTATAGAATTTAATTCACTTTTTTTTTTCGTTTTTCTGTATACATTTTTTTTTATCTGGTTCTATAATGACATAAAGCACTCTTCCACGCCAGCCGAGTAATCACGTGTTTACAAATCGCAAGCCTTGACCCTATTTAACGGTAATTTCATGACGTTATACAGCTGTGTACTTGCTTTATTTGTTTATTAACTTCTTGTTACAATTGTTAATGCATTTCCCTCTCTTTTAGTTTACTTTTTATTCTCATTTATTTGAAATTAATTGCTTAAGTGGTTACGGTAATGATAATGATAAGAATATGATAACCATATATTATGTTTATACCTCGAAAAGAGATTCTCATTTCCTTCCTCAGTTCCCCCCTCATTCTCATTCTCTCCCGTTTTCGCTTAATTTCGTTTTTTTTACTCGTTCCTCCCACACTTCTCTCTCACTACTACATTTTTTAATTAACGATTTTATAATTAATATGCAACTCACGCACTCATCCATACAACTAGTTTCCCTTTTTTTCATTATTTGTTTTTTTTTCAACGCTTAAACTATTTTTTTTCTTAACTATTCGCTTGCTTCTCTTACGCTTTAATGTTTTTTACATAAATATTGCGTTTACCCAGACATTTTTACAAAAAAGTTTAGCTTTTACCCTGGAATAATGTACTTTTTTTCATAATTAGCCGGTGCCGACCGCTAACCATCGGAATTTCATACGCCTCCAGCGAGTTACTTCGATTAATTTTTTTTTTATTTTTTTTTTCAACTCTTCTATTTCTTTTTGTCACGTGAATTTACATCTCAATTTTTTGTTACACGTTTTAACATTTCCGTATGCAGGTGAAACGTCGCGTTATTCGATAATCAGGGGTCGACGGTTTCAGCCACTGCATCAAACGAATCTCCGAGGGGGAGGATCGATATTACGATTTTTACATGTTTCGGTTGCAGACGAAAAAAGACAGGGGAAATCTCCCCTTATTTAGAGTGTTTTAAATTTGATGAGGGGATTTCATTTTTTTCTGTTGAAGAAATAAAATTCTGCGTGGAAAAATTGGGGTGAAATTCTATTTGTTCTTCGCTGATTTCTTGAGAATGATAAATAAATTGACTTTTTCAATTTTCGACTGAAATTTCAGGTACATTTCTTGGAAATTTTTTATACCATTATCGTTCCACTGAAATGTCAAAATATCGATGGAAACTGTGAATTTTAGCTCAATTCTCTCATGAAAATGAATGGAAATCAGGAAAATTAAGGTAAATATATTTTTTAATTTTCAATTAAGTGGAATTCAAGTAAATTGAGAAATTCTCGTCTTCCCATTTCTAAGAAATTGGAAATGTCTTAGAATTTTCCGTGAAATTTGAAACTCCAATTGTGTTCCATCAGAAATAAAAAAAACTACTAGAATCTTTAACAAAATTTCAATAGAATGCCAACCGAAGTTTACAATCTCATTTTTCCCTACGTGATGTCCATTTTTTCGAATGCCCCATAAAAAATTTAAAACACCCTTCGCAGAAGTAGATTTCCCTTCAAAATTTTTCTCCCATCTTTTCCCTTTTCACAGATAAATTCCCGATTAATCATTTAAATTCACTCGGTTACTCTATCACCTCGCGCATATCATTCAAAATACCCCGTTTATTAAATTCTTTAATTATTTATCATTAACACATAAGTATTTATGACCCTGTTTCGTAAAGGCTTCGTAACGTAAGTTAATATTGGCCAAGGGTGATAATTCAAATTGAATCATAATACGTGAAACGCGGGGATCAGTGTACGCCCTAACAAATTCATGACCAAAATGTTCGGCGATTTTTAACTCTATTTTTTCCCCCGAGGAACTATCGGCGGTTTATCCCGCGAATAATCCTCTTCCGGGGATTTTCCGAGTCTTCCGGAGGGGGAGGGCTTTCGTTATCGTGAATTAGCAAGGAAGAGAGGCTGTGGGGAACGGTTTAACACTTGAATTGGCATGTGCTCGTGTTATCTTTGCTCAGCAGCGATTACGCAAGAGTGAGCGAAAAACATAAGGAGGTTTTGTTCACTTAGGTTCATCCCTTTGACGACGAAAATGAAGATTTCTTTACTGATTCCGAGGGCTTGAGGGAGATAAAGCACGGCATTCGGGTTTTTTAATGATTTTTATGCACTTTACGAACGTTGAAAAACAATTGTTTCGTGGTATCAAGGGAAGAAGAGATATTTGGCACGTCGATTGGCACGGTCCTTGGTTTTAATCATTTTTCGTTAGATCGATTTGTTCATTTAGGATTTCCTCCCCTCGATACTTCCCACCCGTTAAATTCACTTGTCTCAGTGTTTTTTTTTTTTGGCACTAGAACTGCACATTTATAGTTATAACTTTCTCAAGCGATTAACGCCATACAAAAAATACAGCGTCGAAACGCCACGTAAAATTGTTTTTTTATGGGTTTTATTTAGGTTTAAACATCTCTAATCACTCGATTTTTACGCAGTATCGAGATTATGAGCTGCACGAGGCCACTCAATATTCTATAAAAACTAAGTTATTTCTTAGCTGATTGCCTTGCGTTACGGTAGAGTTGGATGGCTGACGAGGTCTGTTTCAAGTTTATTTCGTTTTGGTAATGAGGAGTGAAGAGACAGACGAATTGTTTCAATTTATCTCGGGAATGAGTGGTTCTACAGGAAAATGTTGTAAGAGATTTTTTGTAGGAAATTTAATACCTAACATAAAAGTTCGTGTGCCATTTTACTCTAAAACCACTCGTTACCGAGATAATTGGATATTTAACCAGAGCAATTGCAAAATCCACATGTTTCTGAATTTAGAAAGGGGAAAAATCGACTTTCTTTAATCGTCAATATCTCGCGACCAGACGGTGCGATTTGGAAAAATCAGCGCTCGTTTTGAAGGTATCTTCTCAAGCTTCAAAATGAAAAAAAAATTCGTCGAATTTCACTCTGCCGTTCTCGAGTTATTGACAATCAAAGTGTGATCTTTTAATTTCTTTCATTTCAATGTGAAATTGGTGAAGTTAAGGACCTTGACAGCATCCAAGTAGTAAGGATAAGGCCCCTGCACCAATAGATCGCTCTACGACACCAAAATAATCCCGGAAACATGAATAAGATGTGCTAAAGATGGAGATAACCCATCCAGCTGTTCCTCAATCAATCAATCCCTCAATTTCCACTGATGTAACTGTTTAATAACTCTTCAGATGGGGTAGCAAGGACATTACAATAATTGAGTAAAGCCTAGACCAGATATGCTTGAGACATTGAATTCACATTGTGTCTAAACATCATCTCAATGAATCATACAAACAGACACTTCTGCACTACAAGTCATCCAACAGTGTCACAGGGGCCATATTATACATTGAATGATACTTTTTTTACAATTTTTCTCTTCAAGTTAAATTCGATATCGTTAACGATCGTTCGAGGAAAAAAAATACAAAAATTGGTAATCTTTCGTGCACTCGAAAAGCCTTCACATTTTCAATGTATCTAAGTTTTTACTCCTTAACTACTTACTATAAACCGATTCTAATCACAGCAATTATTTATTGTTGATATACACAATCATACAGCGTCTCTCACTAACTCGTTTAATCTCTTCATTTTTTTAAAACCATTTCAGTTTAGTTCGTTTTAACGCAGAGGCTCGGGTTTTCATAGCGTTTCCCCGGTGTTTTTTTTTTATTCTCTTGTCTGTGTACCTTTGGGTCAGGGAAATAAAGAGGGTGAACTGACGATAATTGTTGATATCAGGTGGAGAGATTCAGGGGGTTCTGTCGAGTCTCGCCTCGGATCTAGCCGATATTTAACTGATTATTCCCCTTGAATTTAGATTGAGCTACGGGGGAATCGAGCAACTCCTCGTCGCTAACGAGTCACAGCGAACGACAATAAATTAAATAAATAGGAATAAATAAATAAATAATCAGGGACAATTGGCGCATCAGCATCGAATGAGCTTTGCAATTTATCATTTCTTTTGATCTCCGTAGAAAAAATGAATTATAAATAAATAAAAACAATTACAACAAATATTTACAACGATTAATCATATTTACAATTACAGTTGAGCTCGTAATAAATTAATTAGAGTGAATTTAATTCAGTATTTTTTTTGCTCATGCAGTTTTGTTCTCAGATGAGATCAAAGGAGTCGAAGTGGGAAGATGCTGGAAGATGCGTTAACCGAGGCGAGAGAATTTTGAATAATTCATCGTCTGATGGCTCAAGATTTCTAGAGGAAGCACTGGTTAATACCATTTCACGTTTTTCATTTGGCACGTTTGAGGAAGGATATGTGTGTGTGTATGTGTGTGTGTCCACTCGGATATGAATTGTATTACGAATTAAATTTTCTTATCGCGATTTACCTATCAGTCATTACAATTTTATCAAAAAGAAACACGAATTTTCGGATAAATAACAAGAATGAATTGGAGAAAAATCATTGTTTAGGGAGTCAATGGGATATTTTTCACATGACACCTCCCGATCCAAAGTACCGAAACTTTGAAACTCCTCACATATAGCCCTATTCTCCACTAATTAATTCTTCTTTTATCGTATAATAAATATAGTTTATATATATCCATATGTATATAATATATCGTTATTTAATATTCCACATAATTTATTTGTTTTCATTCAACAAAAGAATAATTAACAAAAGATAATTGAGAATATCCGGCTCTCCTTCATTCTCGGAGTCTAATGAATTTTTCAACTGCAAAACATTATTCCCCTCTCTCTTTCATTACCCCACGACATTATTTCTCTCATTCCGTCGCTCGGCATTTCCGGACATCTGAACGGTGTTTTAGCAGCCTCGGAGAGACGATACGACCCCCTGTATTACCTATTACCTCTGTAATTTGTTTTTATTATCCTTCCCACATGCAGAAGCTAATTCAACTATTAATTAATTACCCTCCATATGCTTGGCATCAATGCAATTATTTTTTTTTATTATCCCTTACCGAGCCTAGTACTTTTTACATACCCCTCACAGAGAGGAGGGAACCCAGATTTATAATTTTCACCAGATGATCAAGAGCTGAACAAGAAACAATTTCCCATTAGTCTCAACTCTCAATGCAAACCCTGTTCTTCCGAATTATTAATCGTTTAACATCATCAGGCTTCATCACGAGTTCCCTCATCCCCTCGAAATAATTCAATAACAACGAAGGAGAAGAACAAAATATCGTAGTCATTAATATAATGATAATAACTTTTTGTTCATTACTTTTTAAAGACTCCCTCGTATCTTTCTTTTTGTTATTTTTTTTAAATATAAAAATGAAAACTAACATATCTTTGGCTTGTTCCCTTTACCAATCGGCGGCAGCTCAACAGCTGCAACGTCCAATATTATGTTGTTTTTATTTTTTTGTTTAATTATTTTAATTTATTTTTTTTCCTTCTCTCTCTCATCGTCATGCTAGCCTTGGTTTCTCTCCCAAAATCGACATTTCCCTCTTTCTGTACAATTTTCGGCGCCCATCGTTGATACACTGTTATCAATGTCTTCCCCCTTGAGTGTCGGTGCTTAATTTGTTCTTTAGACAGCTCTTCCTACATCCACTTACTCCTCCCACTCCTCAATTTATCTCACTTGAATTTCTCTCGCCCTCGCATTCCCAACCACCCCCTCTCGTACCCCAGAAAACAAAATCTTTTAATTTATCTGAAAATCTCGTTCTTAGTGAATTGGTGACTTGACGATGTGATTCGGTGCGATATAGTGGTATGCTGGCATTGCCATACCAGCTGTCTCCATGGATATCCTGTAACAGAATGGGGTATCACTATCAGTTTGCATTCGGTAATTGTCAACACACTCAGAAGTCAAAAAAATTCTACAAGACCCGAGTAAACAAGGAATTAATTGTGACTTTTGTTGAATCAATGAAATATCATGGAAATCATATTCTTTGACATTTGGGGAGTTTCAGGGGTGGAGAGGTAAAACGTTCTGGTGAATGGTGAATTCATCTCCAAAGTCCACGTCTTCAGATAATAAATGTCGAGGGATTTTTTGTTCGACATTTTTTCGTGAAAACATTACTTCAGGGGATGAATTGATGAATAATTTAACATCGAGGGATTTTTTCAGTTGTGAAGAAGTAAAATCTATCGTTGGGAATCGACACTGTCTTGAGAACAAGACAATCACGTTAATATTTTACCTCTTCACCCCTGATTTCATTCAAACAGTTCAAAAGTACGACTTGTGTGAACATTAATCAATCACAGGAGCTTGAAAACGGGGACAATTGAAGGGAAATAAGAAGTTATTCGCCAGATGTGTGACGAATAACTCGTCACACATCTGATTTTTACATCGAGGGATTTTTTCAGTTGTGAAGAAGTAAAATCTACTGTTAAAAATGGATTTTTTTTTATTGAGAATTAAATTCCCTATCAAAAACGTCTCCTGACATTCCCACTGAATTATTCAGTTGCGAAGTGAAGTCTCTCGTTAAAAACACTATACAAAAAATGTCGAGAGATATTTTCCCCCAACATTACCTCCTAAAACCGAATTAACATTTCACCTCTTCACCCCTGATGTCATTCAAACAGTTCAAAAGTCTGACTTGTGTGAACATTAATCAACCACAGGAGCTTGAAAACAGGGAGAATTGAAAGGAAATATCAAGAGGGTACCTCGAAGACTCGACGACAAATTCGTCACAGCTGATTTCATATAATAAAATCCCCGTGATATTCATGGTAAAAATTGAAAAAAAAAAAAATTGTAAGCAATGAATGTTTAAGCAAATAATAAAAAGGTCGAAGAATACAAAAAACGGTTAAACGGGACAAGTAGATTAAGAGGACTACGGAGGATTTGGATGGTGCTTACCGAAGATGGGCAGGAGCCTGGGTCAGAGTTGGTTGGATGGATATCGTCTTCTCAACAAATTTTTTTTTCTCTCTTAAAAAAATATTCTCTTTCTCTTTTCGTTCTCTTTCACACACCCGGTATTTTCCTCGATATATACCCAACGATTAACGAAAAAGATGGTGTATACGACAAATAAGCCCTGTAAAACGAAACTGAAAACCGAATCGCTTCATAAAAAAAAAAAAATTTCTTCATCGAGTCTCAATGAGAATAACATTTCGCCTTTGTGTAATTGTTCACCTTTATTTTCGTATTAAACACGCCTAGCTTTAATTCAACAGTGATACAGTTCAGCCAGAGTAACTGCTAAGCCACACAATGCATATTATTCTGTCGTCAATGCGTAATCGTCAGTGCCATCGACTTATCCCATACAATTAGTCAGATGTAATGCTAAAAACCCATCACAACGTACATCTCTTCTCGTATTAATCGCCCCCATTTTCACATTCTCACGATCTCGACAATCGACTCATTCACTAGAAAAGCAAAGAGTTATTACAGAGAAAATGAACTCTCAGTTGCCTGCATTCGCCTAACGATTAAAAAACTATAAACTAGGATTGAGCACGTACGTAATTATTGACCAGGAGATACTTCTCCGGTTTTTTCTTCTTTTATTTTGACAAATATTGAGTGGAGGAAACAGTGACATCAAACTCGTGAAACAGAGTTAACGATTTCCCATACCGAAATAGTCGAGACAACGAGAATAGCCTGTCACTGCTGTGACACGACTGAAAATACGACGAATATTGAATTCTCTGGAGCATTTTTCAATAAATCAAAAGTACTCATTTACTCAGACTCACCTATTGTTTAATGATACGACACTACATATATTTATATATTTATAGTTTATGTATATTACTTAGTTATCGAATGATTATTATGTATAACATTCATCGACGATTGATCCATCGTCGGTTATTATTTCATTAATGAGTAGTTAAGCTCACGAATTTGCGGATTTAGTGGCGGATTTTTTCGTCAACTATAGGATTAATAATTCTCCTCTTGAAAATTTCATTCGTCTTTCCAATCTCGATTCCTTAATGACATGATTCATCCATCAATAAATTCCAATTAATTAGGGTTTAAGTGGAAATAATCCGCCACTGGGTCACATATATGTCCAATTACAATTTCTTATGTTACACCGGCTTAATGAAAATACACGATCCAAAAACATTCTCACTGTTTTCTCATTACTCTCACTTCTGCATTCTCTCACGTTTTTTTCTTCTTCTTTTCGTATGTAAAAAATGCGAGCTGACAGAAGGAGATAAACTTACTGACGACAAAAGTTGAGTTATAAAGTTCAATGAAAATTATTTCAATCTGTCTCACGTACTAAATTCTAAACTGCAAAGACTTCTGACTCTCCCACAGAATTTATCCGCAATTTTTCGTCCTATCTGACGATTTTATGCGATTACAGTATTACTTAATTACGATTTTTTATCCATCCTTATGTCGGGTATAATATTACAATAATAATCCACAGTAATGATAATAGTTATGTAAAAAAAAAAAAAACGTCTCACGTGATGTTAACAGCACTCCGAGCCCCTCTGACCGAAAAAAAAATTAATCCAGAAAGTGAGAGAGGGATATTTAATGATACCTCACTCTCTCGTTATCGGCGAAAAATTAATTATAAAAAATATAAAGTCATCAACAAAAGTTATTCTATCAAAAATCAAGACGAGGAGTTATTTTATCCCAGAATTCGCCTGTCGCGTTTACAAAATTCTTACACAAATTCGTTAAAGCATAATCATTGGCGCACGAACATATTCGTCTGGGAGAAAATACATTTCTCGGAGTGCATTGAATTTACGTTTGTTGTAAGATCTTTATGCAGTGGGGGAAGTGGTGAAATGTAGGTAATTTACTTCTCGTTAATTATTTAATTATCTTGGTAATGAATGGGTTTGTGAAAAAATGTCAAAAGGTATTTTTCGCAGAGAATTTCCTCATCTACAAAAAAGGTTCCAAGACATTTTTCGATAAAACCCCTCATTATCAAGATAATTTGACATTTAACAACCAGAAAAATCATCGTGAAATGTTTAACCGAAATGAATCGATTTTTTTTCATCAGTTTTTCATGAATATCTCTAAATCTAGAGAAGATAGCGAAATTTTGATGAGAACATTTTTTGCAGCCGAGGAAATTCTCAGCAAAAACGGTCATGACGAGATTTTGGCATCTCCATTGGGTCCAGAAATATTGTTCAATAAGTCAACGTCATCTCCAATTGATTTCATTCCACCACTTCTCCCCGTCTATTCCCCATCACTTAATCCCCCTCAAATAATGAAAAAAAAATCCCCAGGGGTATGAAAAACCCCGGAAACCGTGAGACAAATAAGTTGAAAATCCATCAACAGCTCTCCCCCTCAATCCCCAATTCAGTACGGATTGTACTTGGTCCTCTCAGACTTGAATTTACCGCTGTCAGTTGGTCCTGGTGCACCAGGACTGCGTAGACGTGGTGTGAATGTCTTGTGTGAACGATGTACACCAGTTGTCTGGACAGGTAGTTGTGTTGCGGCGGCACCACCGGCACCGCCAAGCAATTCCGTAAGCCCACCAAGAGCTGTCAGGCTAGATAGGGCGTTGAGGGCACCTGGCTTGCTTAGCAGCTGAGCCAAGGGGATTGCGCTGGCCAAGGGAGAGGCAGTGGTAGTAGTGGTAGAAGGGGAAGCACTGGCCCCGGATGCCCCGGGATTGGTGCCGCTGCCAGGGGTTTGGGTATTTTGGGCCTCTAGGTTAGCTTTCTGCAGTTCGACACTGGGGAAAAGACACAAATGTAAAAAAGGTGAGGGTAGGATACATTTTTTTTTGTAATTCTTTCATTTATGAGAAAATGTTTAATGAGACTTGGAGAATGTCGGACTGAGAGAAAAAACGAAGGATTTTGGAAAAGTCATTTCTTCAGGCAAATATAATTTTTTTTTAGATTGGGAAGAGAATTTTTTGGAGAAGGATTTTGTTTGTGGCGGGAGATGAGAAGATGAATGAAAATATTGAAAGCCTCGAATTTGTACTGAATTGATGGGAATGTCATGCAAACGAAAATCATCAGATATTTCTGAAATATCGCAATGAATTTAACAAAAAAAAAATTTTTTTTCCATACCCGGTAATAATAGTAATCACAATAATGAAATAATTATAATTCTTTTCAGTGAAATATAATGACAGTTTTTTATTTATTTTTTTTAAAATCAGTTGAAAAAAAATTATCTCATGTCGAAAATAAAAATTTTTTTTCACCCCCATTTTATGTCTGAAATCTACCGTTAAGAAATTTTATCTACTGACAATCGTTTTTTCTCCCAGTGCATGATTAAAAAAAAAGATGTTTGATTGAAATTATGTACTTTCTTTCATTCCTCTTAGTGGATTAGTGCATCGACGATGGTCACGATACTCTCGGCGAACACATTGAAATTAAATTAACGTCAATCGCATGGTGCAATTACCGTAACCGTCGGCGATGATAAATTTGTGTGTGAGTGAATACACCAGTGCGCAATGAGAGAAGACAACACCAGTTGGACGAACGGATAATTAGAGGCTCTCGGTGCGCAATGGAGTTGAAAAAAAAAAAATGTGAAAGGAGAGGGGCAAAAAAAAGATGTGAATTTGCTGTCGATTGATTGCGACGAGGTGCGCGCTTGGTGTTCACTGGGCTACGCGATTCACAAGTAATGTATTTAGCACACGGACTAGTGGCACTGAGAGTAGAAAAAAAAAATACGGGGATGAATGAGGGAGTGCGTGTGGAATAAAATTCACGGGCCACACGGCGACGCTTAATTGAAATAATTTATTGACATAATGTGCACTCTGATGGAAGTAAAAATTAGCAATCAATGTGGGCATCGAGTTTCTTAATTCGATGGAGAATTTTTTTTTTTTTTTCGAGAAAAAAAAGTGAAACGTGAAGTGCATTGAAGCCGAGTGTATCTTCCATTTTTTTCACGTCGGAAGGACTCATGAATGCATGGATGACGACAAATAACACGACTAAAGGAACGCAGATGGAGATGATGCGGCAGTTCGAGGGGGAATTTTTTGCTACGTTTGCCATGATAATAAAATAAATTCGATGGATAACGCGTGCTGAGAAACATAACCGTGGAGAATGGGCAACCGTGCTCAGCGAAAAATAAAAACTACGAGAAATTAGCGTCGCGTATGCAATTTATTTCCAGCGCTTTATTTCACGGATGAAGGGCAGTTGGAAAAAGGTGAAAACGGTAAATCAAGAGCTAGACGAATGCCTGTTAATTGGCTATGGACGTTGATAAATTGTCAATTTGATTGGCGAATATTTTCCACTCGAATTTATAAAATTGTCACTGAATATAACGTGAATAACGTGAAACTGGAATGATGAAAGAGCTGTTAATTTTCACTCTAGGTGTTGTTCATTATAAAAGTATATATCGCAAGGATGATCACAGCTGATCCGTTTTAATCCCGGTGATGGTGTTGATAAACACGTTGAGTATGAAGCGTTAAAAAACAAAAAGTAGAAAGAAAGTGCAGGAGAATAAAAAGGATAATGTTTCTATGGAGAGGAGCATCAGAAGCCTCGGACGGGAAACACCTTGTCGGAGGATAAAGGAGTTTTCACTGTAAAAATAAAAAGCCACAGAGACTGGGCAAAGGAACAGAGAGGAATTAAAAACAGGAGCATTAATGCAGTAACATCTCCGGTCTGAGAGACTTGTCATCCGATCGCTAACAAACAAATTCTCCCTCTCCCTCTCATTTTAACTCATTATCTCATGTTTTTATATGGTAAAGTAAAAATGTCGAATAAACATAAATAGAAGGACAGCCAGCGGTGATAGGAACATATGTTGAATGAGAACGGAGTTGATTCTGCAGGATATCTCAAGGTGGAACCTGGATGACAGGATACCTGGAAATAAAGGATTATGAACATTTGGTTTTTTTTTTCTCTCTCTCTCTCTCATCGGGTTCCTCTTCCTTTTGGCTGGACCCCATCGGCGATGAATTTCCATTCTTCACTTTTCGTTGAACACCCCATCACAATCAGACAAGACATTTTCATTCTCACTCGAGTTATTCTAATTCTCTTAATACTAGAGTCTCGTTCTCTCTCACCTGTACAATTTCTTCTATTACGACAATAACGAGACATCCTCGGGTATATCATCTCCCTGCCCCCCCCCCCCCCCCCCCCCCCCCCCCCCCCCCCCCCCCCCCCCCCCCCCCCCCCCCCCCCCCCCCCCCCCCCCCCCCCCCCCCCCCCCCCC